GTGGAAGAGTCAAAGATCACTTGTGATCGTACTGCCACACAGATTCTGGTCCCTGATGGAACTCGGTGAATTCCTGTCAGATTTTGATTTTATGATACTAATTTTTTAAAATAAAAAAGAGTTCCCAAATTTGCATGAACTTCCCAAGATTAAGGCTAAAGTTGATGCAAGACCTGAGAAAAGGTGGGAGAAGGGAAAGAATGCGAGAGGGGAAAAATTGTGCTTTTTAAATTAGAAAACAAGTTACTGTAGTTACTTTGATGGGGGACATTAGAAAGAAATGTTTGTGGTGAATCCAAACCATATCATAGTAGGAGCAACTCTTCCTACTAATGCACGCCCATGCCACACCTTCCAGACTTTGGTTCAACGTATGTGTTTCAGCAGATGCCTCTGGGTCTCCACATCCAGTCTTCGATCAGCCTCAGGCTTAGGATGACACAAATGAAGGATTCATGTCACGCAGCAGCCTTTAATGCTGCAAATACTTTAAAAACCAAGAGTGTAGGTTATTTGTAGTCACCCTCCTGATCCCTGAACAAGCCCTGTATGACAGAAAGAATTCTGCATCTGGCTGGTGGATTCTATGGTAACACCTTGGTTAATGCAGTAACCTCAAAATTGCTAGGCTGTTCTACCAAACATTCAGTGTATTCAGGGATATGTGTGTGCTATGTATTGATTTATACTGATGGTGCTTATGATCCTTAGGTTTATCTCTGATTCGGCGCCCAGCTCTGCATCAGCTGTTACCACACACTCATCTTCGTTCTTTGGTAAGCTTGTTTCAATTTCCAGTGTTTCTTCTGTATTTTATCAACCCCTGGCCAGTGTTCTGACATGTCTTGTGTGCATTTATCCATGACAGCTCTGTGCGTGCGTGTGTGTGTAACAAACACAAGTGTTTCTCAGCAGCTGGGGTACAGAGTTAAAGTAGAGTTGTTAGGGCAGAGAGCATTTCCTAAATGCTCTTCCAAGTGACCTCAACCATCTCTCACATGCAATTTACAGCAGCTGTAGTCTGACTGAAGATCAGACCTTCCTTCTAGAGACTATAGACAATAGAAAGTGTGATGAGGGGGGACCCTCTTGCATAAATAGTATAGATTATTGCGATATTTTGCTGTAATTGGAATATTTCTCTGTACAGCTTTTTGCGAATTCTGGTTTGCATTCAGAGATTGTTTCAAACATGTAAAGACATTTATTTGCTTAACCCACAAGCTGAAAGTCTCAGTAGCAATCACAAAACACTTATTTTGGTGTTTGCTTAGTTCTACAGAATTTAAATGCACACTAAGATCTCTGTTGATCACAGGCTCCTGGTTGCCCAATGGAATAAACTGCAGAGCTATGCAAAGCTGGCATTTTGAAGTTTGGAATATGAATATTGTAACTGGTACAGAACTGACATTTCTGTGGTCTGAGTTGTGTGTTCAGCATTCCACACGGAACGTATCTTCATGTGGATGGCTTGGTAGACTCATCCAGACGGAGCAGCTGCCTTTCGTACACCAAGCCCAGCCAGCTCCTCGATGGCAGCTGAAAAGCCACTCATTTCATGCCATTTACAGGACAATTTACATTGGCTTTCATGACAATTAATTTTAACCCAAGTTTTGCCCCTAATTTGAGATCTCTGCCAATGTGCTTATGTTGAAAAAAAAATCGGTGATTCTAACTCAGTTGGGCTTTTTTAGCATATGAATTGCAGCATAACTTGTTGCTATCCAACACAGTAGCCTGTGCAGCTCATTGTATCTCTGTGCTTCTCTCATCTGAGCTGGAGTCAACTGCAAGGGAACTTGATGCTAAACTAGTGAAATAGCCATCCTGTTTGCTTGGATGCTGGGTTATAAATCAAAGGTAAATTATAGTTCTGCCCATCAGAACAGGATCTTTAGCCTTGCTCTCTGAAAAGCTGTCTTCAGCCATTTAACTATCACACAGAGGTGCAGCGGGGATGGCATGACAGGACAGCCTGCCACAATTACATGCACAAACCTCATTTTAAATTCCTTATCAGTTTATTTTCATTAAGGAGAAACCTCACCACCAGGCTGTGGGCTGTATGTTGACAGGAACAGGCAGAGCAGCGCTGGCTGGAGATGGGCATCCTTGTCCTACACTCATAGAAAATGCAGCCTAAGAAATCCACTATCTCCAATCAGCCTGCCCTCTCCTGCATGCTCTGTCTGTGCCTCCAGAGCATGCAGTGCCCTCCTCAGCAGCTCACACCCAGACAAGAGGGTCCAGCAGCAAAGGATCTAACTGGGGGGTGAGTATCTAAGGTGAGTTTGGGGGTCTCAAATCTGTGACCAGCATGTGGGCTGAGGCTGCCATCTGCAGTGCTCTGGGTGAGCCAACAGGACCTTCCCTGGTGGGGGTCTGTGGAAAAGGTGCTGAGCTTGTGGGTGATAACATGGTCAATGGCATTACCCACATGTGCCGATTTAGGCTGTGTGTCACTTTCACTGGAACACTTGGAGTCTCCTTCCCCCTCCCCTTGTTTTCAGTCTACTCCCCCAGTTGGGGGAGGCTGAGAAATTAAAGATTAAAAAACTAAACAGAATGGCAGCAAGAAATGAAGAACAGTGCTCTGTCCAGGGCTGCCTGTAGGAAAGTGGTGGCAGTTGTCCAGAAGCAAAGATGAAAGTCTCAAAGCAGGAGGAAAGCTGAAAGAACCAGCTGGGGAAAAGCAAACACATGAACAGAAAACGCAAGTGTGACACTAAACTAAGGTCCAAGCAGGTGAACGCTTGTCTTGACACTTTTAACACGTCTTAATGCATGATGTTGTTTGAACTGTATTTAGAGGCAGCACATGTGCGCTAGTGAAGCTAACAGTTCATGGCAGGTGTCAGTGGAGAATGGAAAGACGAAACAGAACAAAGTATTGTACAACCTCTCAAAACCAAACTGAGCTGCCCCCCATCCCCATTGATACAACAAATAAGCATGCAGTAGTTGACTGTTGTCTTTGTTCCCCTCACCTGTAGCATCATTTTGATGTTTAAGGAAAACTAACTGTTGTACATAAAAGTTCTTTGCTGCTCTATATTATGCTACTGGGGCACTAAACGTATGCAGAAATGGTGGATTGTTTCTTGGGAGAAGTAGTTTTGTGAGTAGAATCACCATCAGCACCCTGGTTCTGGAAGACTAAATTTGCTTTTGATTCAGTTCTTTTGCAATTTTCAAATCTACTCATGCTGGCCATTCCAATTTCACATCATTACTTTAAAGGAAAGAACTGCATGTTTGGAGGAAAACAAATGTTCTCATGGAAATGTTTGAATTAAGATCATAGATTTTTCCAAAGAACTGTCAGCCAAATCTGAAAAGTATTTCTGTGGGTTCCAGGATAACTTGTAGACAGTGATAGCATGGATCTCTTCCAAAAATATGTTGTACTTATGCTGGTATTGCTTCATAATGTCAATATAGTTTAATTAGTTGCTGCTTTTTGTGTCTGACACAGTGCTTTTCCAAGTAAGAGAACCCCAAGTGAGAGGAAGGTGTAAAAATCCTCCTGCTTCTGAACTGTCGTTTGTCAAAACCTTTCTGGTTACACTCTGTGTAGTTACTACAGGTAGTAGATCAAATAGATTCAGTGTTTGAAACTGAAACCATTAATGCCAGCTGGGACTTCATATAGGTCTAAATAACACTCATCTTTCTAAGCTAAGCTGACAGTCCACGTGACATGGCATTTTTAAAAACTGTTTATTAAGTCTTAACCACATGAAGGTTACCTTTAGGCACATGCATGGAAGAGAACCCACTTATTTTTGTCAGCTGATTTGGCTGGAGATGCTTCACAGCTCTCTGACTGTAAAATGCCACAGTAATTCTAAAAGCTGTGCTCAACCATAACATATCTGGAAGAAAAACTGTAATAAAATGGGTGCTTCTTATAATACACAAAATAGCTCAAGACTTTACATTAAAGGGTCACTGGGAGTCTTGAAATGAAGGAATTTTCCAAACTTCCTTCCTTGCTTTCCATTAAAAAACATCTCCAAACTTCATTAAGACCTCCAAAAGTCAGGTACACTGGATTAAGGATTACCTAAAGAGGCTATTAGTCACTTCTGTTTTCATACTACAAGGTTTTTAAACTTCTATGAATATGAGGCCAGTGATTGCTAGACCAGACTAGCGTATCCACAAATGAGCTTGTGCGAGCACACACATCTCTAAGGGTGGGGACGAAGGAATGCTGCATGTTCCTGCACATACTAAATTCGTGCTCAAAAAATGCTTCATGTTTTTGATAGGTTTACAAAACAGAATAGTTATTCACACCGTATTTGCAAGTTCTAGTTTGTGGAGTAAACAGAAGGCCATGTTTTAAAGGAATAGTTTAAGTAAGAAAAACCCCCTCATTTCTGGATTAAGGTATGAAAGTGTTTATTGCTTTAGAAAGGATGAAGCATATACACTAAGAACATGCACCTGGATATTAAGATGATGGCAAGACAACTAATTCCTTGTAAGGAGCATTAGTAAATAAAGGTTAGTCTCTTAGTTGCACTACCTGACATGCAGATCCTTCCACTGTATGCTTGCTGTTTTCTCCATATGTCTGCTGTTATTTCCTAAGCTGGTTGCTCAGAACTTGTCCATGCTGGTCAGAATTTTGACTTGATTGTGCTGTATATGTCTTACACTTACTGAAAGCTTTGGCTTCACACTGTTAAACACACGGATGAGCTGGTTTAACATCGCATATATGGCATCTAACAAACTGCAGTAAGAGCTTTTTTCATTTAAATGCTGAAGTAAAAGCAAGCTGACCAGCAGATAAGATGAGCCTGTTTGGATAGTTCTTACGCTCTATCAACATAAAAACTATTGCAACTTTTTGTATCCATTCTATGAACAAATTAATTTTCTTCTGCCTTCTCTGTGTGATGCTCCATTTGTTTCTATACATATAATGTACAGCCCTAACTTATGAGCAACAAAAGAAGTATGGAATATTTCATCTGCCAGTAAATCTGTCAAGTTCCTTTATATCAAACCATTTGCACTGCAAACATACTAAGTTTTCATCCAAGAAGGAAACCTGGGATCACCAGTTAAGGACCTAATTGTAAGAATTGCCAACAGCTGTAGTGAAAGGAGAGCTAATTCTGACATTTATCTGAAGCGAGGCACTAGGACTGAACTGTAGATAAAAGCTTTATTTTTTCTTTTCAGGGCAAAGAAGGTAAACTAAAAAATAATAATTTAATCCAGTGAGTAATTTTTCTGTAAGTAGCAGGAACAGTTTACTCTTTATTAAAAGAGCTATACAAATAGCCATCAAAAGGGAGGAAACACTTTGCTTTGTTTCAAGCTAATCACATTTGTAACTGCTTGTGGCCATTTTCCTGTGATAAATATGGATTATAGGTTACCAATAAAAAACAGGAACAGTGCTCTGAGCAACAAGAAACTCCTTTCTTCAGAGAACAACTGCTGCAAGAATCTTTTTATCTTTTTTTCAAGTCTTCTGGCTGTTGACCTTCATGCTCCAACATCAGAGGCTGTAGTTGGGTATCTGTAGCAATACAGTTTGTTGTCTGCACCTCCGCTCAATAGCAGCTGATGAGGGAAAAAGAAAACTGTGATTAGTAGCAGAACTAAACAAAATACCTACACCCAAGTTGAGGCCTTGTTTTCTTTCCTTTGAAGACAGAAATAATGAACTATTATTGCATGACTAAAACCCTGATTCAAAGTGCAGAAGCAACTTTGTCTCTTATCCTCCTCATAAACTAGAAACAAAATTTTTGCAGGAAAATCTGTAAAGCTTTTATTGAGAACAGGAGCCACAATGAGAAACTAGAGCATTAAAAACATGCTTTTCTCTTGTTTTATACATGTGTGTACCATGACAAATAGCGGAACAGCTTGTTATATAGTTTCCCCTCCTCTATGTGCACTGCCATATCCCAGCTGTCAGTTCATGCTGCTGCCTTAGTCTCCATGGCAGCAAACAGTACCTTGGAACTTGCATTTTCTCAGCAAGGTGTGGTGCTGTTCTCATGTCTCTCCTTGTTTGGAATTCAGTGTAACTCCCATTTAATCCTACAGATCTTAAACTCCCAGCCTCCTCCTTTACACAGTAGCATGGGGAAGTGCCGCAGCACATATGACAGTGACACCCATTTATCAACCCAGTATCAACCACAGCACAACTAAAACTTCCTGTTCTCTTCCATCTTTAAGCATAAAAGGAAAAACGGTTCACAACCGCTTGCAGCCCCCATGTGTGTAAAGTGAGCAATTTGCTCTTTGAATTCTTACCCCTCCTTCTGTCCAGTCCACACACAAAACCTTGTCTTCATGAGCAGCCAAGTCATACAGAGGAGCTTTGCAACTGGTAAAAGACAAGTATTTACAGTCACTCATTCGTAGTTACATGAGCAATCACAGAAGACAAAATTGCTCCCTGGTAGAAATACTATCAGCAGTTATAAACACTTTCAGCTATCTACCATCTGTGCTTTCTCCAGGGCTTATCACATCAGTGTTAACCTCTCCTACATTCCCCAAAGAGAAAAGCAGCAACATTTTTCACCTGCTTGCAAACTTCAAACTGAAATTTAATCAATCTGCTTGTCAGGAACGGTTTATTATATAGTTTCCTTCTTCCACATGTGAATGCTGTTTAACTGTGTGCATTTTCCAGAAAAGCCATTTATGTCTTCTGAATGCAAACTATTTCATTGCTTAGAAATTTGTAATGAAAGGTCTGAAAAAAGTACCAAGTGAAACTTCACACCATTAGGCAAAAATACATGCTTCAGAGAATGTATTTTATTCCTTAAAATAGAGGAATGGTTAGCAGACCATCTGCTGTTCCTAATCCGAGTAGCAATGTTATGGTTGCTGCCTCCTCATGTCAATCAATGCTACTGTTAATGCCAGGTAAGTCTCATACAGCCCTCTCAGATGTTAAGCCATGGATCCTTGGGTAAACTACAAGCATTTTTCTTCCTTTTGACTCCTAAAACCTAGAGGATTTTCACAAACGCCACAGAAGTTTCCACAGAATGTCTCAGACTACTTTTGCTATTTCATTATGTTAGCTGACCCCATAAGCTTGAATGCCATGCTTATTTTACCTCCTTGTGTCCCAGAGCTTCACAATGTTGTCCAGAGAACCAGAGATCAGCTGGTGCTCATGGGTAGGTGACCACTTCACAGATGTCACCCAGCCCGTGTGAGATGTCAGAGACAGCAGAACCAAGGAGCCATCTGAACAGAATGAAAGGAAAAAAAGACATCAGTAGCTGCCAGCTGAAACCAGCACTTTTAAGATGCATCAAACTTCAGTGAGAAAAGCAGTCAGCAGCGTATTTGTGTTCAAGATAGATAAGTTTTTTCCCACCAGTAATTCTAACTTAAAAAATCAAAGCGAGCCTTAAAGAAAGCAAACAAAACCAAAAGCCACAGAAGTTCAGGGGAGAGGTCGGGGACAACAAACCCAAGCAACTCTCAGTGTGTATTTTCTTGTCATTAAACTCTCTTTTCAAAGATTTTTTGGGGAAAAAAACAACCAACAAAACAAGCTTTTATTATCAACATATAAGATTACATTACATTTATAGAAGCTAAACAAGAAAACGTGCCTATGAAATATATCTGGTAGGCTGAGTCATAAGTTAACCGCAGTCCTGTCAGACATGGCACGGCTAAACTAGAACAGTTACTGTCTCAATTTAATGATGGTCCAACCAACTTAGGGGGAAAAAAGGGAATCCTAAGCTGAGTTTACTAAATTATCAGGTGAGAAATCAAAACAAATCTTGCATCAGATTACAGAAAATAGACGTTAACTTTGTATTCAGCAAAAGCCCACAGATGACTTGTTTCAAGCGCAGGGAGCAGGACAGCCTGTGAGATGCCTCCCAACAGGAGGAAGCTCTGATTTTGAACACACACCTTTGAGAACATGCATGTTTTAGCTCACCTTTGCTGCGAGGATCCCATAGTCTAATGTGTCTGTCAGTGCTCCCAGATGCGAGGCGACGACACAGCGGTGAGTAGGAGACAGAATTAAACACTTTGTTTCCTGTCTGTCAGAAACGAAAACAGTAACTCTAAGAGAGGAGGCACTACCTGCCACAACTGTTTCTCCTTGTGCTGGACTTGAGCTGAACCCGCAGATAAAGTATCATGATCTCACCAGGGTTGATTTGAGATCTCCAGTCTCAGCATCCCAGAGTTTAATGGTGTGGTCCCACGACGCACTGCAGATTTCTTCAGCATCTATCCACAGCACAGAAGAGACAGCTTCTGTGTGGCCAGAGAGGGTTGACAGGGGAGTCTGGGATTAAAAGGTAAAAGGAGATTAGATTGAATATCCTCAAAAAAAAAAAAATTATTCTTTCAACAGCAATACATGTTTGATCAGCCTGAGGCATAACACCAGAAGTTTTTAGTCACTCTTAACAAAGAGAAATTACTTTGTGTGGCCACACTAAAACAAGGTTCTGGATAAAACCTACCCTTGTTAGTCCCAGCTGTTCAGTTTTCTGTTTCTTCCGTGGTCTGTTAGCTGCTTCTTCCATTTCATCCTCTTCATCTGTAGGTACTGTGACAGAAGACAGACTTGATCTAGAGGTTTCTGAATTGCATTTCCATGTAATTAAGTAAGTAAACACCCATATTTACAGTACCTAACCTGTCTATGATGCATGAGTATTTTAACCTTACATCTCTGATCAGGTCACTATTATCTCCATTTTGAGTGAGAGGAAAATGATACAAATTAAGTGATGTTCCCCAAGTCACGTAGTTTTAAAATGAAGTTGCAATGAATTTCTAAGGCCCCCTTTACTCCTGGAAAATTCCAACAGTCAGTCAGGTGTAATGATACAGGCTTTTCTTTTAGATATAATACCTACTTATACATTCTGAAACTGAAAGAGTATGACTTGGAACAGCGAAAGAAAGCATTCAGATAAAGGATTAGTTTCCATTTCTAGAAAAGTCCTGATCATCTTACTGTCCTCCATGTTATGGCAACAGTAATAAACAGGAAAATAACCCATAAACTTTTGATGTATAAGAAATCTATACTCAAACCTGCACATTTACATGAATCCATTAAAAAGAAATGAAAAATTACTGTGTTCTGAATAAAATAAACATCAGCACACAGCTGATACCGTGTCTGAAGCTGTGTTACCAACCCAACCAGGAACTTGGTATAGTGATGTACAGCCTTACCAGAAAAAGTTCGAGCATGCTTTTATGTTACAGACTCGACTTTTCTTAAAGAAAGAAGTATTTGGATATCCACCTTTCCGGTTGTTTTAAGAGCCAAGAATCCCATCATACACTTATCTTACCTGCAGACCAGATCTTTAACATTTTGTCCCAGGATCCACTGCAGAACTGTATGAAAGAAAACATACATTAAAAGCTGACCCAGACAGACATTGTAAGCCACACAAAATACACTCTCTGCTTCAAAAATTAACCAATGGGCTATAGCGCCTAAAGAACAGCACAGAGCTCCTCAAAAAAAACCAAGTTTTGGGCATTGGCATTGATCATTCTTTTTTCCTCCTTTGCAGGAAAAATACGCACAAAAAAAGTCTTTATTTCCTTCAGCACTAAATGGTTTTCTTTTAATCTGTCTGACACTGACTCGGGCTGAGAGCTGTAACTCCACCTCTGGCATGTGTGCTCTTAACCTGCCGAACTCCTTGATAAAGGGAAAGAACCTCTTCTACCACCTGCTTTTTCTGAGTACAGACGGAAAATGTTTTTCCCCACCAAAACAACTGTGAAAACTTAGGCCAAATTTGAAAATACTTCATTATAACACAAAATTCATGTGTGTTAAAAGGAAATATAGGAAATAAAAGGAAAATAACCATTCAGCTTCACTCACAGAAGTCAAAAGCAACAGTATAACGGCTTGTACTATCTAAGTCACCTCAACTTTCTGTGATATTAGAGGTTAAGCACATCACTGAAACGATGGCCTGGCACTGATATAGCACTCTTGATCTTCAGTAACCACCATTTATAACAAGACTAGAGACTTAGTGTGTCGGTCATAACAACATGACGAGTAGTACAAAAATAACATGATGACTTTTGTCCCTATGAAGGGACAAAAAGATGGCTTATGAGATACAAGCTAACATCCCAGAAGACAAATGTTTCTTTCCAGGAGTCACTCACTTTAGTTCTCGTGCAATCAACAGCTATAGAGTCTACACTCCCAGCATGTCCCCTGCAGCAGTGAAGGGCTTTCACTTTGTTTTTCTCCACGTTCCACTCCCACAGCAGCACGGTTTGGTCCATAGAAGCACTGAGTAATAGGCATGATAAACTATCTGAGGAAGACAAAAAAAAGTCATGCTTGCATACAACTCAGCTTTCCAAAGTCATTATAGTTTATATGCAATTATTCTAGTCCAGGAAGAAACAGCAGGTAGAATCTCATACCTATATCTATTTACATCATGTTACCCTGCAAGTACAATAAGCATACATACGAATATTTGCTAATGAGGTCTACAAGATAGATAGACAACTTACATGTTGAACTAACTGTACTGGTGTTAGTACAAACTAACTTATTACTGTTAAAGGACTGTTTCACCTCATGACTTAATTTCTACCGTCACTGATGGACACAGAAATAATTCTAGCATTTACATAATTAAATATCCATAGTTGAGGAATTCTGACATTTCTCTTTCAATAATCAAACTATTACTACTCCCCTAAGATATATATACTGACCTTGCTTTACCCATGCCACATCCTTCACTACTTCTGTATGCCCAGCTACTGTCATGATGGATTTTCCTTCCAAAGACCAGATTCGAGCAGTCTGATCATAGCAGCCAGTTAATATCCTACAGGATTTGAAACATTGTTGTTAAAACTAACAATGTTTTTATGGAAAAACAACCAAACAAACCCCCAAATAAAAACCTCCTTAACCAGAAACTTAAAAAATAATAGCATAATAACTGCTCAGGCTTAAAATCACTTATGTAATTTGAAATAAAAGAGAGTTATTCCTGATGTGTTACTAGAGGATATCAAAGCATTTTCAAACCATTACTTAATAGAGGAACATTGTCTAGTTAGTTGGAAAATGAATGAGAAAATACAGTAGAAAAGGACACTTATTATGGCTTGTTTTTTTTTTTAAAGAAAAGCTCGGCATAAAGGTACGCTATTATATTTGTTGCTAATTAATGTCACATTTGAAGTCAAGGGTTTAAGCTAAAATAAGAGCTAAGGAATGCTTGCTGTCCTTTTAAGTGAAAGAACAATAAACAGCGTTTGTATTAACAGTATCACGCTCAGTGACTCTATAGCTTTTTTCTACTTGCATTAAAGTCACCGTCAGCACAAAGCATTAAAACTGAACTGCTTACAAAAGCAAGCAGCTGACTGACTTGACAGGTTAAAACAACTAAAACACAGAACAAATTGGGGGGGAGAAAAGATATTAAAGAGACAGAATACTTCTTCATTTGACACCATGTTGTCCTCTGCACACAACAAGAATAAGCAAGACAAAACTTATAATGGGCTTAGTGCAGTACCATTCTTCAGTAGCTTGAACAGAACTGATCCAGTCATCATGGAAGATGCACTCCTCTGGCTGAGGGGCCATGTATTTCTCCACATACTCTATTTCCACCACTTCTTCCTGTGCTCACAGAAAAAATATACTTATTTAGGATGGGTTTGGTTTTTTTTTTAACTCAATAGCAGCAATAGTTAACGCTAACACAAGATATACAAGGTTATTGGGTAAAGATCTTGGTATCTGAATCCTTTGCTACATTAGTGGAATAAAGTGTCTAAACTATACTGTTACCTGTATTTTTATCAAATCACTATTAATAGCAAGCTGGAAGCAAAAGCAAGCAATTTCTCGGGTTCCTCTTCTTCTGTATTTACCCACATAAAACTGGTGTCTACAATATTTCATAGTATTTTCTAAAGCTAATACTAACCTCCCTCATTATCCCCAGTGCAACTAATGGAACAGGAGACAAAAATACGTTAGTGATGAACTGAATAAGACAAGAATTTCCCCTCTGAACTGTATACAGACAACAGTTTGGATAATTATGTTCCTTGCACTGCTCATACTCTCTAATCACTCTGCGCTCCAGAATGGATTTAAAAATGCAGGGAAAGTTGGAAAAGAAGTAAAACTGAGTAAGGAAACCTACCTAGTCAGGACGACAGTGTAATACCTAAATCAGACTGAAGTAAACTGGCCAAGTCTGTTCTATTGTCCAAAATGGGGAGAAACTGAATATGACTTACTGTGGAGATATTTTCCATTTCCATGTGTGTGACCAGTGGCATTCGCAAGAACTGCCCATTGATAAGGAAGTCGAATTCCACATATTTGTGATCCGCTGAAACACATTAGGAAAAATCCATGTCCAGGTGTCAGCACCTACCAGACACCATCCAGAACAGCACCACTTTTTAAATCCTTTTCTCTGTAGCTAACCAAACCACAGCAGTGCTTCACCACTGTCCTGTACAGACGTTGCCACTGCTAGCTCTCATCTTTATCACTGCTAGCTAGAGCCCTCTATCTGAGGCAGCAGAAATTTTGGTTCATATTTCTTCCTCTGTAACGGCACAGTTGACAAAGGCCCCATATTTCAACAAAAGCATTGCTTTGTGCACTAGTTTTCCAGGTTGCTTGCAATTTCATGAGTTAAAAGCAACTAGTAGAAGTCTCAGCAGTTTGGAATACAGTTAGTCTACTTTGTCATGGAAAATGGGATTTCTTAACATTCCATAGGTGTCTTTTCCCCCAAAAATCTTTCAAGTCAGTCAGGCCCATGTCAGCTGGCATTTGCAAAATGGTGGAGCTCTTCTCAAAGGCTTTCCTAACAACCAAAAATCTTTGGTTTCTTTCATTAGTTTTGCCAGGGTTTGGAGAATTCCTCAATTACCATTTGCTGGGGCAGCTTGGTCTGTGGTGCTGGGCAAACACTAGTCCAGCTTTTCTCTTGGAACTGCCCACCATCACTGCTATCTGATGAGTTCAAAGTGTGCCTTACTCCGGGTGGCCAGAACAGAACAGAAAGGCAAGAGCAGCTAGGGTTGAGGGGCCTGTGGGTACCAGGGTGCTGCTTCTGACTCTGACATCACGTTTCCTTGCCCGGGCCTGCCCTGAGCCGTCTCGCTTGCAGCCACATGCACTACAAAAGGTCAAGCTCAGCCCGACTCGCCCGGTGCAGCGGGCAGCGGGCGGCTTCAGACGGGGCATGCGGTCAGAAACAGGGGCAGTAAGTGGAACTTATCACCCCATGGCAGAGCAGGCCCTAAGCCAGACCCGGTCCCGGTACCTACCGTTGCCGGCCGCCAGCAGCTTGTTGATGAGCTGGCTGAGGTCTGTGGTCTCGGAGGCCGCAGGCACCGAGAAGGGCACATCCTCCACCGCGTACCTGCGGGCACACAGCGCCGTTACCGCCTCTGCGTTACTCTCGCCCCAAACCCACCGCACACCCCCCAGGCCCAGGCGGGCGCCCGCTCACCTGCGGTTCTCGGTGCGAAACCGCGCCGTGAGCTGCGCCATGATGCTGCTGCTGCTGCGCCCGACCACGTGCCGCGATTAGCCGTGCCCGCCCCCGGGGCACCGCCTCCCCCCCGCCTGCCGGCAGCGCTCCGGCCCCGCCGAGGCTCTTTCCCTCTGCCCGGCTGGCCTGGCCTCGCTCAGCCGCTGCTGCTGCCGCTGCTGGAGCTGCTGCTGCAGCCGCCGCCGGCCGTGTCCACAGCGGGCTGCGCGGCGCCGGGCAGCGGCGGAGACTACAGCACCCAGCATGCCTCACGCGGGCCCTTCCCGGGGCCCCCTCGCACCTCCCGCCTAGAGAGCGCGCTTGCGCGGAGGGGCGGTGCGCAGTGCCTGGCGGTGTTTGCCGGAGCGGAGCCGAGGTCGAGTATACCCCTTGTGGGCGCTCCGCTGCTCCCCGCGGGGCTGGCGGCGGCAGGACCGACCGGGCTTCGGGAGCGCTCTCCTCTTGGGGCGGTAGTAGTAGTAGTGGGGGTGGTGGGTGGGGGACTGTAGCCGCTGTGGGAGGCATGGCGCTGATGGTGTGGGGCGCCCCCGGCTCCCCTCAGGAGGAGGCTGAGGAGCGCTTTCCCTGAGGCACTCGCAGGCCCTTGCGCCGCTGCAGCGGGGGTTCCCTACGGCACTGCGCAGCCCGGCCCACCCCGTCGTACCGGCTTTGTGGCGGTGAGCAGTTCCCTGCGGCGCTCCTGTAGTCGGGAGCGGGAGCGTTCGCTGCTGCTGGTGTCGTCTGGGTGTAGGTTGTGTTTCTTTGCATGTAAAGGGACGCATCCGGACTTTAAAAGAAGCTGTAAGGGAATTAGGTCTTTGGAGAGAAGGCTGCTTGTGTGAGTACCCGCTGCGTGTTCGGTTTATATGCGCGCTTCCTCTGCTTTTTTGACAGATGCTTGTGGCCTCTCAGGGAGCAGTTGAGCTTTCCCTGTGTGGTGACTCCCGTTGGGGCAGCTTGTTAGAGCTGGCCGGGGTTTTGTGGGACTCTGACATCTCATCTCTTTCTTAAGTGTAATTAAAAGGTCTGACGCGGTCAGCATGATTGACAGAGTTGCGTTTTCCAGGTACTTGTGTTAACTGCACAAAACCAACTGGGGAGACCTTTTAGGCAGGAGTCCCCAGACCTTCTGTGCATTCTTAACCCGATGTACCTGCTCTTCTATGACAGGAAGAAGCTAAGTCTCAAACCTGGTACAAGTTAATATAAAGCTAAGTGTAACTCGTTTACTATCACTATGCCCTGATTTTCTTCCTGTTGAGTTTTACTGTAGTCCATGTCCTTCATAATGATGGTAGAGATACATCGTCAGAGATAACTTTTTCAGAGAGAGTGTTTAATTGTTGTGAGCAATGCAGTTATCTTAAATCATTACAAAAAACCTCTAAGCATTTAATGGAAATCCCAAGAAAGATTGTGGGTGAGGCATTATACTGTACATATTTCCTGTCAAAAAGTATAAAATAAAACTGGAATGGGGAATATTGCTGTCAGAAATCCTGAAAACATGAACTTGCACTGTCAAGCTCTGATTCCCTTTTGGTTTTAATGGGTATGCATTGAAGACTTGAAGCTTCAAAACTGTTAAGAGAATTGCCTCCTTCCTGCCCGGACAGGTATTCCTAGGTAGGATGCACTTATTATCATAACAGACTTACCTGGTTTCTACAGTTTAGGTTTCTTCTTATTACTAATATCTTCCAATGTTGACTCGGTGTTAAAATAATTAGTCCTGTGATTTCAAAAGGCTGCACTTCCCTGTGGGATCTGGATGCACGTTGACTTTACAATGGGGCCTCATAACTGAGGGAAGGTAGAAGCAGGCATTCATAGAAGGCCTTACAATTATGTCAATCAAATCTGGTGTATTTTTAGGGACCACTGCTTGTAGTTCGTAGGTATAGGCGTTACATAGAATAAAGGATTGGAGGCAAGAAAATAGAAATCAAATACTTTGCCTTAAGGCAGAGCAGAGGCGTGACTGGTCAATGATAGGATTTTAAAGTAATGTCAGCTTGACTTTTCTGTTAGTGTCTTTAAAAGTTTGTATATTGAGAATCGGTATGAGAGCTTCTCCATTACAGAGGAGATTGCAACTGTTACGAGAAAAGCTCACCTCAGAGCAAGAAATCCTGCTCCTGCTGACAGTTCCTGATGTTACACAAGTTGTGTATGTGGATACCAGCCAGTGAAGACCTAGCATATGCAAGAGGTGCCCCTGGCTTTGACAGCTGTGTTATCATGGCAATTCTTGATGGCTAAATAAATGGAGATCTTGCTGCCTCCTGTGTTTTGCTAAATGATCTTGAACTATCAGCCAATTTGTCTGTGAAATTGAACCACAGATGGTAATTGTAAGCTAGATTGCAGTGCATGTTTGCTGCCTTGAAGATCCTAGATAAAATGCTCGTGATGGTTAATTCCATTTGCCTGTGCTTGCTGCTTCTGTGGTTGCTTACTCTCTTTGTAGAGTTGAACCAAGGATAGCAATAGCCGTAGTTTTCCCTGTATTTTGAGCAGAGTGCTTCCCAAAGGGAGGCAGAGCAAACGAAGTGGTGCTAACTGGGTTGGAAACTGCCTTGGAGTGGTAGACTTCATGGAGGGCAGCCTGTAGAGTGGTTTGGGTTAAGGCTAAAGCTGAGGCATAAAGAGCTGTCTGTTTGATGTATGTACTGAGGATACAGCTATGTTCTACACTAATATTAAACTCCCGTGTTTCCCTTCAGCCCATTGTTAAACGTGGGATATGATGGTGTTACACTGGAAATTTTTGTGGCACTTATGTAAAGAGTATATGAAGAGCTACTTGTATGTATGTTGTTTACTCATTCATGACAAAATATCCACACATTTATGTATACAGAATTTAACTGTCTTGTTTGGGGAATCTGTTCACAATAATTATACGGTTATTTAATTAATTACCTATGTATTTACTTTTAAGTATCTGTAACAGTGTATTTCTTCCAGACAAAAATATCTTTTTGCTTGGGGTTGCACAACACTCAAGTTAATGAAACCTGGATGGTTAAACCATGGAGTTCATTGTGCAGGGTGATGTATGTGCCTGGTTAGAGCAGTGGTCAGACAACATCACAGGCAAAAAAGTACCACAGGGATCTTTTAAACATAAAGATAAAACTTCAGCTATTTCTGGGCTGCTTGTGAGAGGAAGCGGGATAAACATCACTGTATATTTGCCCTACTGCTGTAATCTTTCCCCTGAGCTTTATTATTAACCAGTGTTAGATACAGGACATTGGGCTGTGGGTCTGTCCCAGTACAGCCATCCTTGTGTTCTGTAGCTGGATACATGCTTAAGGGTACATGCCATTGGTATCTCTGGAACAAACCTCTTCAGTTTATCTTGGAGAACTAGATGTGCTGCTTTGGCAAAACTGACATACCTTCTTGAAATCTTTTAACTGAGGGAAAATGGTGGGGTGATGATGAAATCTAGCTTTCTGCCTTTTTTTCATATGCTGCTAACATGCTTCAGACACTTTAACTGAAGCAGCTCAGAATTGTTCTCAGATCCAAAGGTTTTTGATTGGTGAGCATGAGGTAACTTCATTTGGAACTTGGTTTTGGAGTGTCATCACTTGAAAAGCGAATGGAAAAATAAATCTGCTTTAGATTAAAGTATTTAGTGTATTGAGCATATGAGCAGCTTAATTTCTCAATGTTGTTTGTATCAGCAGGGTGCTTTATTCAGCTTCAAAAGCCAAGGAGATGTAGATTAACTTTGCCTGTGGTCCTTTGTATCTTTGCAAAGCAAGATAAATTTGTCCTTCAAGGGTTGTAGTTCTTTTTGAGTGATTTTCTAGCCTTTTACATTCACCTTACTAAAGTTGTAAGCAGTTAAAATATCACAGCCAAGAAGGTCCATTTCAGGACCCCTTCTATGTGGTGTAGTGAAAAAGATAAAGCTGGTAGGAGCCACATGCTTATGTAATGCTGCCTGTCTTTAAAATAACTACTGAAGGGAAAAATCCTGAACACCTTTCCTCCTCCCTCACTCCAAACTGCAGGAATTAAGTTATTCAGTTTGGCATATCATGCATGTAGTCTAGTATATATGTACTGTAGTAACATAGGAGCCAAGTTAATTTGTCATTTTTGTCTCACTGCTGGTGAATATGTGCGATTGGTCTCTCTTTTAAAGAGTGTACTGTCTGGGTGTCCTGTGGATGTAGCAATTCACTGTCCAAAATTCTGTTTGCTTGATGGTTTATTGTGGGCAACTGAGGTCCTTGAAGTAGTGCCTTTTTCTGTTTCATCACAATTAATGCCAAATTTTATTTAGTGTATCTGGCATTTTTCATGCCTAAAGCTTACTGCTGTAGACTAACAATAGTAATTTCATTTGGATGTTGGTTTATATCCCTTTAAAACAAACTTAATCTATTTCAAGATGGCTGCATGACAGATTTGGGTAACACAAATCCTGTCTGTTGATTATGGAAGTAGATGAGTAATATTTTTGTAAAGCAGTGCTGGCATATCTTTAAATATTGAGTGTTCTCTAGATGTGTATGGTTGTTGAATGCTTGTGGATATACTTAGGTTAAATCATGAATGTGTATGTGTGTTTTATATCTGTGTATGCAAAGACAAGTCTAGCAAATTCTTATACAAGACACTAAACTACACTCCTAGAGCAACACATGGAAATTTTTCTGCAGTGAGTAATAAAGTGATAAACAGGCAGGGATTTCTTGAGGGCTTTGCTGTTAGCTTGCAACAGTGTTAGAACTTGTAAGACTAAATTTGTAGGACAAAAGAAAATCCTGAAGCAATGTCTTGATTGAGGCTAAAGTACAGAAGGCTGAAATAAAATTTCGTAACTTTTTCAGGTCACCTTGTAATGGAAGAAAATGGAGCTGACCATGACATTGCTATGGAAGGATCTAATGATTTGTTCATAGGCAACTGTAATGGTACAGGAGAGTCAGAAACAAAGGATCAAGTTTTTCAGGTGAGGTATGAATGTCCTGTCTTTGTAGATACTTTCTTTACATCCTCTCTAATGAACCTGCAGTATGTTATTTCATCAAAGTGTTTTTTTCCCCGGCCTTTATAGTAGTACATTGTGTCTTTTAAAAAATGCAAAAGTTCCTTCCCTTGGGTTCTTGTGCCATTTGGTTTGAACTGATGAATATCCAGATGTTGCGTGTAACGACAGCCTTTAGTAATTGTATTAATGGAACCTGTTACAGTGCTGAAGAAATATGTTTTATTGTGTTAGAAAAATCCTTTAATAAAAGAGTACTTCATGACATGCCTTGGAGAAAGAGTGATTGAGAATCTGTTGTTTTTCCTTCCCAAAGCTTCCTGCTGTAGACTAACAGTAGTAATTTCATGTCATTATATGTTGTTTTATAACCCTTTAAAACAGATGTAATTTACTTCAAGGTGGCTGCATGACAGATTCGGCTAATGAATTGAAAATTGGGTTAAATTGCTTAGTGACCAAATGTGGCAAATAATCCAGACACAGGATGTCTGTGTAGGTATTGGGGAAGGAGAGTGTTTAATGTATTTATTATCAAATATCACCAGATACTTCTAGTCAGATTTCTGTGCATAAATGTTCTGCATTACTTCAGCTAAGACAAAATATGATTCAGGTAATGATTCAGTAACACGCTTACGGTCTCTGCACAGTGTCTTTAACATAACTAGTGCAATTTTTTGCTGCTTTTCTGGTGGAGTTTACAATAGACAGGTTTAGCACAGATTTATTCTTGAAGGATTTTTAGGTTATTTGGCTCAGGTCTGACTTCAATATTAAATTTGGAAACATTCTTCCCCACTCTTTGGATTTACAGTTTACAAATTTTTGTAGCAGAAATGTCAGTTGATTGTGTGATTGCTGCAAGAGATAACACGAACTGCACTCCTCCTTGCATCGACCAAATGACAGCCTGACACATTATACATGTGGGCTGCCTGTTTGCAGTTATTTTTACATGTTCAATATTTCTGTTGTCAGAATTTCAACAAGACATTTGTGCTTAAAGTTTAAATTTAATCAAAATGGGATGTGCTTTAAGACCTTGATTCTGCAAGCTTGGGGAGTATAAGCTCTGAGTACATATTTTTTGAGACTTGCAAAATCTGATTCTTGGTCTTGTGCTGTATAGTTCTTGGCCTTGAATTGGAAGGTTTGAGTTGCTTATGTTTATTCTGTGGTAAAGAATCAACGAAACTTATAGAAATTTTTGTTTTCATAACTAAATACATGTATGTAAAGGTGAAGTGGAATAGTGTCTAGGACTTCTTTTGAAGTCAAATCAGGTTGGTAGGTATTTGACAGTTTTGGTATAAGTTCTTTCAGATTCTGGGTAGATATGATGGTTTTAGGGAACAGATTTTGGTCACAAGGGATTGTCTTTCCCTTTAATAGAGAGGGTTTGTTCTAGGAAGCAGAAACATGAATACATTTTCATCAGAAATGGAAAGCAAAAAATAGAGCTGTAGTGTTAGCTGGTAGCCTCTTGATCAGAAGGATGAGAGCTCCCTCCAAGTATACAATACAGCACACGGGGTTAAAATGTTTTTTCCTTTCTTTCTTTCCTTCTTTTTCAATTTTTCTTTTCTTTAATAGAAATTGCTACTCAAGATTAAAGTACATTTTACTGTTTTTCCTCTGTGAAAGCATTTAACCTGCATGGATTCCAGGGATCCATTGTTTGGACAGTGTGACTCTCCTCCAGTCTTACCCATCACAGTACACGTCTTGGGCTCTCCGTCATCAGCTGTGCCTGCCCTGCCACCCCAGCCTCACTCCACAGAGGACTCCCACCTGGTGGACCAAACGGGGCAGCCTCTCTATGAGCTGCAGCCCCTCGGAGGGCCCACTGCACCGATGGTGAGTGTCTGAAAAGAGGTCAGGTGTGAGAGGCAAGGTTGCTCTTTGAAAAACTCTTTTACAAGGTGCTTGTTTGTTGTAGCAACAGCTGATTCAGACTTTAGCAAGGAGGTGAAACTTTTCAGTGGTTCACTTCATGCTGCAGTTGTTCTTCCTCAGGTAGGCAAATCCTATTTCCAGCCATTACTAATTTTATTAAACAACTTAGTCTTTTGTCATTATCAAGCCTGGATGTCGCTGTGCGATGAGATCTCATACTTCTCCCACTGCTGCTTTACCGATGTTCCTTGAAATAAGTGTATCTGTGTTTTCTGGGTGGGGATTAGAACATTAGCAACAAGCTAACCCATATGTCTCTCCTTCCCTCCCACCCGCCTGCAATTAATGTGCTTAAAGCATTACTTGTAATTCTTAACACTTACTTTGTAAAAATGTAATTCTAGCCTAGAAGGCTTGGTTGGCATGTGTTGTGCTGTCACTAAAAACTGTTCCACCATTTAAAGTGTAAGAAATTAGAAACAAGATGATATTTTATGTTATTGTAGGCTTTATAACATTGTTGGGAACAAGTCAGTGGTAAATATGGGAAAATATACCATAAGGAGTTGTACAGGTTTTCCAGAATTCTAGGAGAATTTATTTATTTATTTTTAAAGTCCTGGAGCTTTTCTTCTGTCATTTTTTGCATAGAGTTCAGTTTCTTAGGAGTAAAGGTCAACATTCGATATGTTGTGATTAATTCTGCTAGTCCAGAATGGGGTCACAGTGAATCCAACCATGAATGGCTTTCAGGTTTTTGATAACTTTAATAATAGTGTGTAAGATTCAAATAAATGTGTAATTCATTGTAGAATCCACTGAGGGTGGGTTTGGGGTTCTTTTGTTGTTTGTTGTTTTTTTTTTTCCCTTTAATTAATTAAAGAGCTATTTTAAAAGAGGGAGAGTAATTTTAAGAAATGGACAGTAAATAGGCAGGGGGTTTATTATATAAAATCATGTTAATTTATATGCCATAATTGCAACCAAAATATTTCCTGTTCTGGTAATAAGCAAACCCAGTTGTGCTGCATGATGATCACCATACAAACTAATGCCATTCATACTTTTGTGTGATTGCCTTACAGATGATTGTTGCCAGCCAGTCAGAAAATGGACAGGTGCTGCATGTCATCCCTACTACCCAGCCAGGAATGGCCCAAGTGATTATTCCTCAAGGCCAACTTTTGGATGTGACCAGCACGCAGGGTGAGTTTAACCTGTGGGACTTGAGAGTGTGTGTTCCTGTGACTAAACATATCCTGCATCATGTCTTTTTAAGCATCTTGTTTGTATGTATTTCCTTTCCTTATCAGTTATAGGACAAACATACATACTTACGAAATTTGCTTTCTGATTATGAATCTGGCACCCCACACACCACATTTTCTGTTTGGCAAAAGCCTTATGAAGTAAAAGCTGTTATGCTCACTTTAGATATATGATGGATAGATTGAGATATTAAGCACAAACTGCTTCTTGCCTTCTTTACCATTGATAAGGATGTTTGTGCCAAGTCAGATAGCTGTACTATCAGTTTCAGATCTCCACTGTTTACTTAATTTTGAGTGAAGTAGTTAATGCAGGTAGAAGAATTAATGTTATTCTGGTCTGTTCCAGATATCACTGGTGATAATGCATCTTTTGAAAAGCCAGGAATGAAGTTCCTAGGTAGAAATGCAGTTCCCATTGAAGAAAATGAGATGTAACTTTAACTTTATTGCTAAGTTTATTCTCCTCAGTGTGTTAATTGTCACACTTTAAGTATATGTCGAGATGCATAACTAGAAGAACAAATTTTAAGCTTCTCGCTAGAAAAGGGACATACTGAAATCTGAAAGCATTGATTATTTATCTGCAAGCGTTGCTGGGTGCAAAATGCTGTGTACTAGTTTCCATTCACATAATAAGATTGAGAGCTAGATTGTGTCACATTTTGTTAAACTCTCCAAGGTTTTAGGTTTTTTTTTTTAACTGTCTTTGCATTTTCTGTATGAAGTCCTCAAAATCTGAGAAAATTCTCCATATCTGAGGACTAGTTAAGTGCTTCCGTGCAATGAGAGCTCAAAGGTAAGACTCAAGTCCTGAGGCTGGGTGGATAGAAAAAAAAGAATTCAGATTCAAGTCATGATCCAGCCCTTTTCACTGGCAATTGGAATATGGTTTCACGACCTTGCATTGAAAGGCTTGCTCCTAACCTAATGCTCGTGTTTTAATTCCTCTCCACGTGCTCTTACACAGGAGTAAGACCACTGTTTAGTTAGTGTTGTCTTACGTGACTTTAAGCTGACTGTGAGCCTTTAGTTACTGAAGAATTGCTGCTACTTTTTGTAGGCAGTAAATTGCAATGATGAATAGTATTTTTGTGTTCCTATTTTTTGTCTTAAACACTCTTCCATCTTTGTAGGTAGCTCAGTTTTGTGGTATTTGAATATATGTTCTACAGGGGGTTTTGTGATTTTGTTTGATTGGTTTGTTTTTCTGGAGACTTGCTGTGTAAAACTCTTTGGAGTTATTTGGTCTTTGAAAGACAAGACTTGTTAGTGATATACTATGGAGATTAAAGGGGAAAGAAATTGGACTGCTGGCCCTTGAGTTTTGCTTCCCTGCACATGGTGGTAATGCATGCAATGGCACAGGGCTTCAGAGTAGACTGTAGGGTCTTAAGGGCATGTCTGTGTAGAGGAACCAGTACTCTGAGCTTTGAACCAGCGTGCTGTTTATGCAAGGTGCACACTTACAAATCTCCCAGCACAAGCTTTCTTAGTGGAGTGATTTCTGTATTTAAACAGTAATTTATCACTGTCTCTTGGGATGGGGGGAAAAAGCTTTCATAATAGAGGGACAAAAATCCTGCTTCTAAAGAGAGCTCCCATTTCTTTATGTTGAGACCAAAGTATCAAATGCCTGCTTTCACAGTTTTGCATTATGTTTTTAACTATATATGCAGGCTTCATTCTAACAGTATTTTTTGGCTTACGGATTGCTCCCTGTTATGAAGAAAGGCTAAAGCATTTGTTCCAATAGCATGTAAGGTTCAATTACAAGAGGCCTATTTTATTTGTTTGGGCCTTCTTTCAAAGCAAAAAGCAGTGTTGTAATCTCCTTTTTTCTTATTTCAAAAGCAATCACTGTGTGATTTGCAGCTGAACAAAATAGTTGTGCAATCCTATAAGGATTTGTGGGAATGTAAAGCAGAGTAATGTACACGTTCTTCAGATTATTTGCTTGGTTATGGAAGGTTTCATTAGCAGTAACATGATTTGTCCTTGAGGATAAACAACCTTATCAAGTGTATCTCTGTATGTGTGCTTAGAGTTTAAGTATTGATTCACAACTGTTAAACCACCTTATCATCTAGAGATCTTATTTTGTATGTCAAAATGCTTGCTCTTCCAACACAAAGTTTAATCATAGCTTATTTCCTCATTCTGAGTTCAGTTATTAACCAGGAGGCTGTTTTATTTTTACAAAGATGTTTCAGAGGAGAAGTGTGGTGATGGGAACTTGCAGACTGTAGTGGTGGCCGCTATAGCAGACAGTGGAAGCAGTTACATTCTACATCCACAGGCGTCTCTCACTGTATCAAAAAAAACAACCACCAGGTAGGTCAGGAGGTAAAATGATGGACAATATTTCTGATCCCTGCTAGTAGTGCTTTTGCTTTCTTGCACTTTGTTTTTGCAATGGTTATCACAAAATTACCTTAGAAGAGAGGTTGTGAACCCTCAGTACTAGTGAGTGATTTGTAGCTAACTGTGTTTGCAGGCAGCTTTTGTACGTGCCAGAGCACTGGAAAAGTCACTTAAAGGACCTGTATTCCAGAGGTAGTTGGATATATTCTGATCAGAGCAGTAGATGTGCACTTAAAATAACAATGCAAATTACTGAAATTACTTAAAGGGACATTGATACTGCCAACCAGGAGTTGAAAGTGATTACATGGGTTGAGATAAGAACAGTCAAGTAACTAAGGTACAGTACAAAACTACTACTACTACGACTAATATTAGGGAACTAATAAGGAGAGAGAACATGAAACTAAAAGGGGAAAAGGAAAAGAAAACAATAAATGCAAGTGATGTTTGTAGACAATACAGTTGCTTACCACCCACTGACCGATAGCCAGCCCGACCCAAGCAGCCATCTGGGCCTTCCAGATAATTTCTCCCAGTTATATACTGGCCGTGATGTGCTGTGGTGTGGAATACCCCTTTGGCTAGTTTGGGTCAGGTGTCCTGTCTCTGCTTCTTCCTAGCTTCCCATGCCCCTCCTCATTGGCAGAGCATGAGACTAAAAGTCCTTGATCAGGGTAAGCATTACTTAGCAACAACTGAAAACATTGGTGTTACCAGCATTGTTTTCAGACTAAAGTTGAAAACACAGTACTGTACCAGCTACAAAGAAGAAAAACATCTTGCAGCTGAACCCAGGATGACATAGTGCACTGATTTGCTGTTACCTGCTGTTTAGACTGGTTGCTTTCTTGTATGTTAGTGTAGACTTTTACTACATGTTTTTGTTTTTCAGGCTAGTGGAAGATCCCTTTCCCATCCCTCTCCAGCTGTTGCCACCAAATACACCTGCATGGGCACGCCGTCTCAGGAGCTGTGAGGTAGGCTGCAAATAATTCTGACTTGAGGTTTTATCATCTGGATCTAAGATGCTGATCCTGTTCCATGAAGAGAATAATTGACAGTGGTAGAAGTTGTGTTCAAGCTTCCTGATATTATGAAATATTACTGGTACTAGCTGGTACTACCACCACATTTAGACACATAAAAAGCTATGGAATCCCTTCCTTTTTTGGGAATGCTGAAGCAAAAAACCATGCTTCTGAAATCCTGATGCTGTGCAGTGCTGGGAAAAGCCATTGTTTGTCATGTTAGAGTTCACTTGTGAACTATAGTGTAAGCTCTGCTGTCTTCTGCTGAGCAGATTGGTTTTTGTTGCCCTTAGTGATCCATTGAGAATAAAATGGCCTAAGTCTGCAAGTGTTTATATTAGTTTGTGGTGTCATATGGAAATCAAAATCTATGTGACTTACCAGGATCAAATCTGAGACTTAGAGCTCCTTAATATCAGTGTTTTACTAAGGATTTCTATTTTAGATATTCTCAAGTTTGGTTGGTTTGGGGTTGTTTTTTGATTTTTGTTTTTTATCAGCATGGTTACCTGTGCTTGCTTTCTCTTTTATTACAATGTGATCTGTCCTTATTCCTTGTGATGGCTTTTGACCCAAACAGAGCTCTCTGCATATTGTTAGATGTCTGGAGAACTGTTCTGATGATTGGGGTGTTATAAATAGCTGAAATGCATCATAAATCACTTAAAAAGAAGGGAAGGGAGATGGGAAGATTTTGGAGACATCATCTACCCCGTCCTCCTGCCACCAGGCTCTTCCTGATAGATGTTTATTTTACTTTCCCTTAATATTTTTTAAACGGAAACTCATGTTTTCTCTAGCTAATTCACCTCTGTAGATACCCCTACCATTTGAGGTTTTTCCTGTTGGCTTGGCCACTGGTAACTCGAAATTACAGTTGCAGGGACTTAGAAATTTAATTTCTTGCTGTATCCACTTAGAAATATTTTTAAAATAAGAATATTTTAAAAATTAACTATATATAAAAATCTTTTATATATATGTGTGTATATATGTATATACACACAGCTTTTATTTCATACAATATATATATCCCAGGGAGCTGGCTAGTACTGTGCTCCAAAGGGCAATGACTCCTTTGGCAGTTAGTACTGCAGGCAGAGAGCACTAAAAGCTGCAGCTGTTCAGAGTCAGCACTAAGCTCTGTGTTTGGTATTGATTCACTGACTGCCTTGAAATCTTCGCCTCACACTTGCTATGCCTACAGAGTAACGCCTCTGGTATCCTGCTGCTGTAGCTCACTCGAGGAAAACTGCAGTCTTGGTGTGTGTACTTTAGTATAAGCTTTTATGTACCCTTGCTGAGATGAGGCCAGGGGAGAGGAAAGGAATTGCCTCTTTTTTTTTGCTTGAAGCTTCACTGGAGTTAAAGGATTGGAGAGTATCTGATTACCTCAAGGTAATTAAATCGCTAATAAAAAGTGGATTTAAAAAAATAGTTATTCTCTATAACCTACTTAGTTTTCAATGGCCTGATCTTTTGCATTTCCAGCATTTATCAGCATACTGAAACAGTGTCATTAAAAACTACATTAATTAATATCAACTGTACAAAGTTAAGTTCATTTATTTTTCTGGAGCAGATGGTCTCATTTGTCCATTTGTTCCTACTTTGGAAGCCCCTAGAGAGGAGGGATCTTACGTGCTGTATGATTTTCTTCTCCTCCTAATCCCCTCCCACCAATTTTAGGAAAATGATCTAGCACAGAAGTAAAGCCAGAATAGGAGCCAGTGCCTTAGCTGTTATCACAACAGTTTTATCAGTCTTGTCATCTCCCTAAGATAAGGTCAGTGACTTATTTATAGTGGCAGGTATAAGATATGGAAAGAAAAATGCTGGTCATGCATTATTCCCTGTGTAGCGTGGTACTGTAATCCTTCTTGTGAAAGCTGCCACCCCAGGTTTCTGTAAAGAAGGTACTTCTGGTACTTCTCAGGCTGCTTTGTTGCTTCTGGGTTTTTCAGATCAAGTTTTGGACAGAAATATTATTTATAATTTCTGGCTGAACAGTTGTCGACTTCTCTTCCTCACCACAGCTGTGGGAGTGCACCTATAGGTGTAATAGCTGGAGCGGTATGCTTGCAGCAGTGCTGAAGAGCAAGCAGCTGCTGTCTCAGAATGACTCATGCATCCAGTGCATGCATAATCCTCTGCTTTTGGGCTTAACCTAACAGCAACACTGTGCTGGCCCAGCTCATTCACAAGGTGTTTGTTTGTTCTTTGTTGACTTTAGCTCTTGCTAATGACAAACATTGTTTTACTTAGGTAAAAGGCAGGTTTTATAAAGTTGTCCCTAAAGTATTTGTGCAGTAATAGTCTTGGAGAGACACTGTTGCTGCTTTTGTTGTCAGTATTAAACAACAGGCTGCACTGTCAGTGAAGGTGGCAAAATAGATCCATCAGTTTAGTCCTCATTCACTATGCATTTGTCTTACAGATATGCTGTAAAACCGCTGGCAAACCTAGTGTTACTCCCAGCTGCTTGTCAGCCTGATCCTGAGCTGCATATGAACAGAAGTGAGCATGGCATTAAGAATTCTGATGAAAAGCTCTTCTCTGTCCCAGTGCTTTCTCTGCTTGCTGGCAGTCTCTGGTAGATCAGCACTGAACCAGCTGTGGTGGCTCCAAGTAGCTGAACAGCTGTCACAGGGGATGTTGCAAAGTCAGCAAGTTGTGCTTTTTTTGTTGTTGTGTTTTGGGTTTGTTTGGGTTTTTTACTTTGAGTCAAGTTAGATGCTGTTTTTCTGGAGTTGTATGCAGCTTGGCAGAGTTCACTGAAAGCATCATCAGTATGCACAAGGCAGATCTGGTATGCTGTGTTTCTGTGGAATGTTGAGAACTGAGAGTGCCTTGAAGACTAGAGGAGGTGTTCTGTGAGACATTCAATTTGAAGTTAGTGCAGTAAGCAGGTGAGGCAATTACTGGTAGTATAAGCAGATGGATTCTGCTCCAGCTCAGTGCAGTGTGTGTGTTGAAGTAGATGCATAGACAATTTTTAGTGCTTGAGCAATTCTTAGTGAGAGTCAAGTGAAAAAGTTTGTCTAAGACAAACTTGTCTAGGAGCAACTGAAGCGTGTGTTGGGGGAAACACCAGGAGTGAAGTTGTCCTGTGGAAATTAGACAGGGTCAGTAACTGTAATCTTCTCAGGGGTTCTTGGTGTATTTAGGGTCTTGGAGAGCTGACAAACTCCTGACCTCAGTGGGGACTGCTCTGGTGTTAGATCCTGTGGTAAATCTATTTGTAAAGGATAATAGTGTGGGGAAAAAAATGATGACATGCCAAAAATCTGGGCCTGTGTCCTCACCTGCCAGGGTCCCTGACTGCTTTTGTTTTCTTGTGCAATGTTCAGCAGTCATCTGGGTGAATAATCCTATTATTTCACCTCCTTTCCATGCAGAAAATTGGGGACTCATACCGCGGCTATTGTGTGAGCGAGACAGAATTAGAGAGTGTTCTAACACTACACAAGCAGCAAACACAAAGTGTGTGGGGGACGCGCCAGTCTCCAAGCCCAGCCAAACCCGCCACACGGTTGATGTGGAAATCTCAGTATGTCCCATATGATGGGATCCCCTTTGTCAATGCAGGTAACTAACTTTTATTCTAATAACTGCTTTCAAAATTTCAACATGGGGTGTCAACTGGCCTTAAAGAAGGGTCTATATGGTGTTCCTTAGTGCTGGTGAAGTCAAGGCACAAACACACAAGAAGAGCAGCTTGGGCTCTTCTGTGACACAGTCAGGAGGAGCTTGTTTCCTTGAAACCGCAGGATTATGTTTTGCTGTGATTATTTCCTTTTGTTCTTGAGAAATAAATTAGTTAAGTACTATTTGATGGGAGTTTTTGTGATGTGATCTTTAGGTGGAGGTCCCACCTGCTCTATCAGGATGTGAAAGTTCTTGTAAGGGTAAGAGCTTACTTGAGTAGTCTTGCCTAACTTGGAGGTCCTTTGAAGATTTTATTCCATACGAGCCAATGAACTGTTTAAATGGGGCCCTTTGAAAAAAACAAATGTAAAAGAACAAAATAAACATCAGCATACCTCAGCAGACAGATTTTGGGGTTTTAAAATGAATGTGCAGATTCCATAGGTTGGGAATTGCATATCTAGATCATGCAATCCATATGTGAAATTACAAAGAGTTCATGCAGATATCAAATGACCAGGTTTTAATTGTTCCATAGAGATCATGAATAACTGGAATGTAGGTTATGTGCATGTGTTTTGGTTTGTTTTTTTTTTTTGTTGGTTGGGTTTTTTTTCTGAAAGTAACTGAAAAAGTGAAATGATAGCACCAGTTTTAAAGCTTCAGCCATAAACTGAGGTATAAGAAAGCTAAGAACAAATCCAAGCCAATTTACACTTTTATTTTTTCCCCAAAATGCTTTTGAGACGTCTTTAGCTTTCTGTTTGATCTGCCTGATAGATGAGTTTCCCCACAGTACGATATTTAGAGCAAAACCACGTTATTTTTTCCTTTAAAGTTGTAGACCAATAGAGATTTAGTTTATTAAACTAGTATTTTTTTTGCTTTGCTCAGACCCCCAAAGAGATGTTGTGTATATATCTGAAGTGTTGTGTTTCCAATATGTTTAAGTTTAGTTTATAACTCTTCTATGAAAAGCATCCATTAAAATCCTTTCCACCTGAAAAGCAGAGGTAGCAAATATGATGCACTGAACAGCAGTTTAAAACCCAGATAAATGAATTCTAAACTGTGCAGGACAAAAGCATTATTCTCCAGGAATTTATCCCTTTTGTGTAAATGGTACCAGTCTGTAATACCTGCCCTGCTGTGCTTCAGCTGTGGGAAAATACAGAGAAGCTGAGTAGCTCCCTATAGCATAAAACAGGCAGTAATCATCAAAATCCTTATTGTTACTAACTGTTTTGTATAGTTGATACTTTTGTAAAACAAGGACCCCATCAAATTCCTTGAGATTTATATTAGCAAAGACTAAATTAAAGCTCTGTAATGGTTTAAGCCCAGCCGGCAGCTGCTTGCTTGCTTCCCCCATCCCCAGTGGGATGGGGAGGAGAATCTGAAAAAAGGTAAAAACCTATGAGCTGAGATAAGAATAGTTGAATAACTGAAATAATAGTTAATCAGTTTTTAAACTGAAATAGCGAGGGAGAGAGGAAGAAATAAACCCTGTGCCCTGAAGAAACCTCAACTGATGCACAATACAATTGCTCACCACACGCTGACCGATGCCCAGCCAGTCCCTGAGCAGCCATCGGTGCCTCCTGGCCAGTTCCCCCTGTTTATGTACTGGGCATGATGCTCTGTGGTATGGAATATCCCTTTGGCTATTTTGGGTCAGCTGTCCTGGCTCTGCTCCCTCCCAGCTTCTTGTGCCCCCTCCTCAGTGGCAGCTCATGAGAGACTGAAAAGTCCTTGATCAGGGTAAACATTACTTAGCAGCAACTAAAACAAGGGTGTTTTATCAGTGTTGTTCTCAGACTAAAGCCAAGAGAGCTCTGTACCAGCTACTAGGAAGAAAATTAGCTCTGCCAGCTGAAACCAGGACAGCTGTTGAAGTCTTTTCAGTCCTAGATCTTCAATTTTAAGTTTGTTTTTAAAAATGAAACAAATATGTTTGTTATACATAATTCTCTTAAATTAACTTTAGTTGCATTGTTTTATTGATTATTTTTTTTTTAATTTTTATTTTCTAATGTCACAGTTTAAAGCAAGAGATCATTGGATATCTTATGGAAACATTATGTTGCTGTTGTGATACTTTAAAAGGTTTTGATTGTATCACATGGTATAAGCAGCTCCTTGCCTGCGCACTGAAATATATGAATTATAAACAAAAGATAACTAAACATGATGTGGAAGAAATCTGGAAGAAGTTCCTTTCTTGACCACTTTAGTGCTGTGCCTGTTACCCTTTTGTTAGAGGTCTGACTGGATGAAGTCACTTGCTTCAAATTTATAGCTCAGCAGTATTTGTTTAAGCCTGTCTGATTTTTGTGTGTGTATGCCACACTGAAACAGTGTTATTTAGCAGATAAGGTAGGTCAGACTTGCAGCTAAGAATTGTTAGGCAGCATGGCCTGAAATATTGATGTAAGACAAGAGCCTGGAAATAGCTGCTGAGTTTTTGTTGTGGTTTAACTCCAGCCAGCAGCTAAGCACCACACAGCCACTCACCCACCCCTTCTGGCATGGGGAAGAGAATTGGAAGGGTGAAAGTGAGAAAACTTGTGGGTTGAGATAAAAACAGTTTAATAGGTGAAGCAAAAGCTGTGTGCACAAGCAAAGCAAAACAAGGAATTAATTCACCACTTCCCGTGGTCAGGCAGGTGTTCACCCATCTCCAGGAACTCGGGGCTCCATCACATATAAAAGTTACTTGGGAAGACAAACCTGGGATATCCTCCTGCTTCTTACTCCAGCAATAAATAGTATATCACGCTGCGCTTGATGTCATACAGTGTGGAATACCTCTTTGGTCATTGAGGGTCAGCTGTCCCAGCTGAGTCTCCTCCCAACTCCTTATGCACCCCCAGCCTGGTCACTGGTGGGGTGAGGAGCAGAAAAGGCCTTGACTCTGTGTTAAGCACCGCTCAGCAGTAACTAGAGCGTTCCTGTGTTATCAACTCTGTTTTCAGCACAAATCCAAAGCATAGCCCCGTACTGGCTATGTTGAAGAAAATTAACTCCATCACAGCCAAAACCAGTACACCTTTGACTTCAGCTGTGGGTTTTCTTGGTTATTTTGGGGATTCTGCTTCTGTTACGTGTTACCAGCATTGTGCTACTTTGGTAACTTGCAAGACTCTTCATCCTGTATTGGTGTTCAGCAGGGCAGAATCCAATATTTGCTATCATACATGCTGCAGGAGTGTTGTGAGGTGTAGTAAGGTTGTGAAATGCTTTGGAAAATGGTCTGTGTCCTTTTTATGCTGTGAGAGTAGCATTTGTGCTGTATTTGAATGCTTTCTACACTTGAGTGTTCTGCCTTCTGAAGAGGCTGATGGTAAACAAATAAGTGTTTTGTAACTCTCATCTTTTATTTAGTGTTGTTTTATTGTAATAACTTCAGTGGCCGTTTGAATAAACGGAGCACATTACTTTCTGTTCCCAGGAAGCAGAGCCATTGTAATGGAGTGCCAATATGGGCCAAGGAGGAAAGGGTTCCAGCCCAAAAAAGCTGGTGAGCAGGAAGGCACCTCTTGCCATCTGTACAAAGCCACTTGTCCAGCAAGGTAAGAACTGTCTGTAAAGCTGAAAGAGCAACTTGGCATTCTAAAAAAGTATTCTCTCTATGAGCCTTGACAGAGCACTGTTTGGGGGTGGTAGCTGATACGCACTGTAGCTCTTAGCTTTGTCTCCTTTAATTTGAGGCTGATACTCATTTAGAGGGAAGAAGAAAGTGAATAAGGCTGAGATTTGATAGGTTGGCCAGATGCAAAGTAGCAGTACATCAGGATATGATGTACAAGTGTGAATTGTTATCTACCTGGGTGTAGTTCCTGTGGTCTCCTTTAGTGACCGTTTTTAGTCTAAAACTTTATAGTCTATTTGTTATTTTTCCTTCAGGCTTTTAATTACACTTATATCAATAATCCTAATTTAACACATGTCCTATTTTCTGAAGCAGTTACAGTTCTTCCTGTTCACTGGGGACTTTCTCCTTATCCAACACTAACGTTTTTTGCCTTATTCTTGGGCATCCTCCTGGGTGCTTGTTCAGTTCTTACTGAGCTAAGAATGCATTTACCTGTCCAGTTGCATCTAGGTGTGTATGTGCTCAATTCTGGCTTCAAGCTGGCTGAAGCCTCTTCAGAAATGGTGTTATACTGAGGGACAGAATGTTTTTGTTGAGGTACAAAATCACTCTGGCTGAGTGGCTTCCAGACAGCCACAAGTGTTTTTGTCTGCATCCATCTGCATCAGTCTCTGTTGATGTGTGCTTAACAATTCTATAGTTCTCTTTGGGATTCCTCACACCCTGCAACACTGTTTGAACTTTCCCTAAACTAATATCTCATATGAAGTAGGTGGGGTTTAGCCTCCTCCCCCTAAGGACAAGTGTATTGAAGGAGAATTTTTTTTTTATCCTTGCCCTGGAAGGATCTATATTAAAAAGGTTCAGAAGTTTCCGGAATACAGGGTTTCTACTGACCCTAAAATTGACAAGAAAATCATAAGAATGGAGCAGGAGAAAGCATTCAACATGCTGAAGAAGAACTTGATAGATGCTGGTGGTGTCCTCAGGTGAAACTTCCATATTTTCTTTTTCTTTTATCTTGACAAATGAATCAAAAAAGAGTAGTAATTTGCTTGGTTTCCTTTATTTTTTAGTCACTTTATTAAGGCTCTTGCTTAGTATCAATAGGAAAAAAAAAAAAATTCCACAATGTCAATAAGACTTCTGTGGCTCTGGAGTATTAATTCGGAAAATGTCTTGAGCACCAAGCTGTGAAACTTCAGCAGATGTTTTCATGCAAGGAATAGGTGGAAATGATTGTATTACCTGGGGAATTGAGCTGGTTTATTTTGCACTGACAGGTGTGAGAGGGCTCTGAGCACTAAAATGCAGTATCTTCCAGCTCAGGGACTGTAAAATCTTAAGGCATTCTACTTAGGTTGATTTTGATTGTCAGACTGTACCCCCGAGAGACTCTGTTATTTGCCTTTGCTTGAGAATTATGTGTAGAAACTCTTTCCTTCTTGCCAGGTGGTATGTACAGTTACCCACTCAGCAAGCCCACCAATATCATGAAATGGAAACATCCTGCCTCCCTTCTTCACCCTCCCAATTTTCTGTGCCTTCTCCTGAGGAGGAGGAGGAAGTTCTTGGAGATGAGAACTGTATTCTGCCTTCCCGACTTCATCCTCAAGTAGCAGACAAGATCCGAGAACTGGTGTCTCAGGGAATAGAGCAGGTCTATGCAGTGAGGAAGCAACTGAGGTACAGAACTTTGTCATGTTCTCAGTCTGTAGTGCTGTATCTACTTCTGCATTTGATTAATTTGGTTTGCAGCTAAAGGGTAGTCCGGATGCATCACTGAATATATTCCCCATATGTCATGTGAACCAATTTTTCCCAGCTTTTGTCTTCTTTTTCTGTTTCGTTGTAGGTAGCTGTTAAGAGTTGTTGTCCTTTTTAAAGTTAGTTGAATAAATGGGGATTTTTAGTTCCCTACTCTTTAGCAGATGAACAAGATGAACTGAGTCAGAAGATCATCTAGCTTGCTCTTTTCTTGTTGTTAGAACAAGGGGAGGGACGGGTAGGAGTCTCTATAACAGAGGGAGATAACACAGTATATTTTATATATGCATATTTTAATGTCCTTTAACATGTGACAGAAAGTATGTGGAAAGAGAATTATTCAAGCCTGATGAAGTGCCAGAAAGACATAACCTGTCCTTCTTCCCCACTGTGAATGACATCAAGAACCACATTCATGAAGTGCAGAAGTCCCTCAGGAACGGCGAGATGGTGTATAATTCAGGAAGTATCCCAGCAACAGTACGTTGGCCTTTGTGTTTCTTTTTGATTTTTCCAGTTAAATACTGGAAATTGTATTTTAATTTTTAACCACTTGGCTGTGTTTCATCCAAAATTCTCTATGACTTAATGTTTCCAGCAGCAGTATTTTCAGTGGAATCTCTGGCTGAACAAAATTGGATTAAATATTAATAAAACCATCTGATCTCATTCAGTATTTATCTCATCAGCATTAGGTTGCTATTAGTTGATTGACAAATTATACAATACCAGCACTTCATGATGCTGCATGAGCTGGAAACCACATGGTGTAGAGAAATTGACACGTCAGAGAATCTTATTCATGACTTTGTCATTGTGTTTTGGAGAAGTTACTTTTCCATATCTGAAAAATGGGGACGAAGTATGTCTCGGGTGTAGCCTAAATTAGGGCTTGCACAACCTTTTGAATACGTAGATACCAATAAATGCACTTATAGCAAGTGAAGCAAGCATGAAGTAGATACTTACAGAATGGTTGGTAACTCTAATGTGGTGTTCCTTAATTTTCTTCCACCTGTTGAGTGATAAAGGGTACACAGTGATCCTAGTTTTCCTACTTATGAAGCTGACTACTAAGGAATTGCCGGTTTAAAATCAGCTTTGACAAACTGTACTGTTAAATGATGTTGTGTCATCAGTCTTTTCCCTCTCCCTACACTGCTGTTTCCCCAGGTGAGTGAGTGATCCTTGTTAGTTAGCCAAATGGTTTGACTATTTTCTATTTTAAAGTCTTTGAACTGTCATGAGCAGACTTTAGCCTTCCCTGGTACAGTGTAAGTTAAAATATCTTTTACAGGTTGGGGTTTTTTTGAGGGGTTGGTTGGTTGGGCTTTTTTGTAAGCCAGGAGCTTCGAAGTTGCTGCATAGTTACAAGAAAATTAATGTAGTTTCAGGCTGTTTTGCTACAGGTCCTTTTAAGCCTGTGTTCCTATAGTTGACAAACTTGCACCCTTTCTGAGAACTGAGATCCTTTTCCTTTCAGCTGCAGTGGACCACAGACAGTGGGAATGTTCTCACAGAAACAGTGACTGTTACATTTGCCTCTCCACCTTCAGATGGTAGGACTGCATTAATAACTTTGCTGTCTCCAAATGTGATCTGTTTCATTGGTTATATCACAGAAGTTCAGTTTCCTTCCAGTGAGGTTGCTGCTCTGTTCTGCTGCTCAGCTAAACTTAAGAAGGGTTATTTTGGTGTATCTATTTTAGCATACTTTTTTTGTTAACTGTGTGACTGCATACGTCAAAAAATACGTGTAGTGTGATGGGGTTGCCAGAAGTATGAAAATTATAATCTTGGATTTTGTTTAGCATCCTAAGCAACTGAAGATTTTAATGGGATGGTTATTTAGAAACAACATTTTACCTAGGATAAAGGTGCTAATAACACCTGTGTAAAGATAATTGAATTGCTACTGAACAGATGCATCTGTCAGGACACACAATACCCAGGACTCATCTGGGTACTTGAGTTCCTTGATGGTTTGTGCTTCACATGTGCTTAACTATCTTGATAAAAAGCACTTGAATGCATATTGGGATTCCTGCTTCTTACAGAGTCATTAGCTTGAGTTCTGCTGCTAGGATCAGGTCCTGAAAAATGAACATGGTATTTCTGTTGTCAGGATTGAGAGTACTCTTTTCTATTTTTTCCTTAATACTTAGAAATGTGTGTTTAGTGGCAGCAGGGCTATGAGAGATGTTTCTTCAGTTTTTTATGTGGTGTAATATTGTTAACGTCTGAAGCCAAAGTAGCATCTCTTCCCAGCAATTAACCTTCTTCCCACTCTGCATCAAAACCAGAGGGTAGATAGTGTAGATTTCTATGGAAACTTGCGTTTATGCGTTCATGGTTGAAGGTCTGGTTATTTTGAAGATGCTAGTTACACTATTGTCCTTTGTTGAAAGTGGGTCCCTACTACTATTATTTTGACTTCAAAATATGTACTAAAACAGATCTACTTGCTAGCTAGTGTAGTTAGGATTACACATGGGCTGAGATGCTCTATTTGATCATGGTGGCTGATAATAAAATTATATTATTCTGCCTTTTTCCTCGGGTTTCAAGGACATTTTTTCTAGTGTGACACCAAAAGAGCTTTCTGCATATTTGTGGATGCTTTCCCCATCCCTCAATTAATAGGTTGTATATGAAACTCATGAGAAAAGTTGTTGGCTTTTAGTAGGGATATGATTGCAGCAAGGTGGACAAGTCTAATTGTTTGCATGCATTGAGATAATGCTGCAGGCTTCTTAGATGTTTTTAATCTCAGTGGCATTGCTAGCTTGTTTCCCCATTTAACTGGAACATGGTGGTGGGTACCTTTTGTTCAACACAGCTGGTAGTCTACAGGGACCAAAAGGGGACTGCCACATTTGTCATGTTTAAAGATGTACTTCTGTCAGCAGTTACGTTCCACTGTGGGTCTTGCCAGAAGTCCTGATGTGTTTGGGTTTCTTTCCACTTTGCCCCCTGTTGAGATAGGGGAGTCCTAAGATTTAAAACTGGTTGCTGGCTGGGTAATTAGTTTGCATTGTTAATGTAATTAATGATAATATACCTTAATCACATTGTTAGTGCAACCTAAGGGTTAACAAAGCTTGGGACTTAACACTTATGAAAAGTTAGCTACATTTGTAACTCCTGAGATAAGATCAGCCAATCCATGGGGAGACTGAGCCCCACAAAAGAAGAGAACAAGTGTAAGCCAGCTTTGTGGTTTGGACAGAATCCAAGGAGTAACTGAGCCTGCCAAGACCAAAAGGTTACTTGCAGTGCCGAAGAGGAGCCGCTAGCCTTCATCCCCATGACTCTCTATGACCACCACCAAAAAGCGCTGCACATGTGCAGTGGGAGGAGTTTATCATACTAATATATACTAATTATCATAGGAAGCAGGGGACAAGCTATTAATACATATAGGCGATCTCATGAATATGTAACCACAATGCTATATATGTTTGGAGGACGGGTGGCTACGGCACACACACCTTTGGTGGGATACCCCTGTGCCACCCAGCCCTGAATAAACATACCTACTTTACAACTCTAATTGGCTGGTTGGTTGTAAAGTCCTTTCTCTGCACGTCACTGTCACTTCCTGACCTATTTCTTATCTTTGTTGTAGCAGGAAATATAAACCCCCAGAGGTTTAGTTCACTTGTGTGACTTCTCCTAAATAGTTAGGGTTGGAAAGGACCTTGAGATCATCTAGTTCCAACCCCCCCACCATGGGCAGGGACACCTCACACTAAGCCATCTCACCCAAGGCTTCATCCAACCTGGCCTTGACCGCTGCCAGGGATGGAGCATTCACAACCTCCCTGGGCAGCCCATTCCAGTGCCTCACCACCCTAACAGATGACTTGGTGAACCTGATTTACCTGATTTATGTGCCAGTGTTTGGGCTTTGTCTTGGTTTTTTTTCTAACTCTTGTTTTAGTTGTTGCTGCAGTGGATCAATTTGAACTGAAAGGCATCATGCATGCTTGGTGCTCTTAGGGTAAGAATTTTGTTATTGACAACTGTCAGAGGGCAAAAGTTTTGAAGCTCAGTTTAAATAGTGTTCCTCTTTCTTAAGGAAGCCTGTTTTAGGAAAAAAGGAATCTGCAATATGAGCAGGCCTACTGTGCTTAAGCTTGCATGTCTGTTAGTCTTTGCATTACTGCACTTTTATGGAAAGACACAGAATAGTTGTGCCTTCAACAGCTGTGATAGAGCTCAGCAGGGATTCTTTTTAGTATGTTTGAATACTGGAGAAGATTCAGGAAGATCAATTCTTGCTTTCTTTGTCTTTCACAGCCTATCAAATATGTAAGCGTCCATCTAGTGAATTTTAGAGGAAGCTAGAGAATCGGATTTGTTTCCCTTTCTGCACATGTGCACCAAGTCAGTAAATACAAGCAGCTAATCTAATTCCATCATATCTTGTCTCCCCTTATATATGTGGGTATGTGTTTGTACACATTGCAAACACGTTTATAATTGTATTACAAGTCTAAGCAAAAAAATAAGCCTGACTGAAAAATTGAACTCTTGTTAACGTATTATGAAGTGGTAACAAAGGAAAACAACACTAGCTTTTCAAACTACTGCTTGTTTATGTTGGGGTTTTGTTTGTAGTTTTTTTTTGTGGGTTTTGTGGTTTGGTTTGTTTGTTGTTTTTTTTTTCCATTTCAACTTGTGCTGACTGGAGACAAATTTATTGTTTATGAAATCAAATGGTAACAGAACGAAACCTAGCTGTTTGTTGTCTTGTTGAGCCGAACTCCCTATCTCCATGAGATACAGCTTTCTCTATTCTAGGTCTAAGATCCACTGTAATTGTCAAATTTGTGTGCTCCCTTTTACATCTTTTATGAAGTATAATGACAAGTGAGCTAAAGTACCTGTTCTGTTTGTTTGTTCAATTCTGGCATTCATACTGAAAGCCCAAGCAGCATAAGGAGTGGGTAGATTAGGAGTTGAACTATTATCTTTATTCCTAGGCATGTTGGTGTAGAATACAACCTAAGAAGAGAACTGCCATCTCTTCCTACATGTGAATGTTCACAAATGTTTATGGAGTCTTGAATATTCACATATGCATATGGGGCTTCTGTGTAGTATTAAAAAGAGCTCAAATATTGGAAGTAGTTGTATTGAAGGATATTAGTAGAGTATGTCTTATAGTCAGTTATGATAAGGAGTTAGAGTTTGCAAATCAGTATATATGTTGAAAAATGTATCTCCATTCACTTAGATTGCTGGAAACTTCTGTATGAGTTCGTGTTACAAAGCTTTTTGCAGTTGGCCATTCTCATTTTTTTCCATCCACCAAGCTAATCTACATGCTCAGGGCAAGCTCTTATTTTACAGTTACAACAGTGAAACTGAAATAAAAGGCTAAGCAATGTCTACTTGTGTCTGGATAAATCTGAACCAAAATGTTCTACATAGATCAAACAGGAAATGGAATTGATTCCATTGGAAGTTTTCTTGCAGAAATTGCTGCAAGCGAATCTCAATTTTTACAAGTCATCAGGAAATGAAGTCTGTCCTTCTTGCATTAAAGAATTTTGAGGATATAGTTTAATCTGTAGGCTGAAAGACTTCTAGATAAATGGACTTTTGGTGTGATGCTGCATAGAAATTGCCTTAATTCCACAAAGATGTTTGGAAGGGAGTGGTGAGACTTACAGGATTTCCAGTGTAGATTTTTATTTTCAGAGACAACCCTTTCTTTTTTTTATGCCTGTTTATTAGAGCCCTTACTGAGGTGTGTGTATTGTCAAATTGTTTGATCGTTGCTTTGATAGTCAACTGTCAGCTTTTATGTTATAACTAGAAATTCAAAGCACAGTGTAGGGTGCAGTTACTTTGCTCTTCAAAATGGATCTGTCAGTGCTTCCGTTTTGCTGTCACCAGGCACATACAATCTTCCTACAGTATTGTCTTTTTCTCACACACAGCTTTTTTAATTTAGCATCTAAACTCTTATGCAAAGAAAACAGCATTTATGTATATGTTTCTTTTATAAGTCTATATTGAGATTGAAGGGGTTTGTTCAGTTTGCAGAGGAGACTTTTAAATGGGAAGAAATCTGTCATAACTGTCTGCCTCCTCTCTGTTGCACTGTAGGGAGCTCAGAAGGGGAGTCACTTGTCACCAAAGCAGAAGCCAGTCAGAGTGGGGAGTCCTTGCTACCAGAAACAGCTCAGCTATTATCTTCCCTCTCTTCACTTCAACCCAAGATATTTGCACAACTTCAGGTACAGTCAAGTTGTTTACAGAACATCAAATGTTCTGCACTGGGAAGGCAAGCTGAGAACAGCAAGTTCCATCTCAGCTAATGAACCCAAACACTGGCTGGGTAACGCACATTTTGAAATAGCTGTTAACTCTTTTTTTTTTTTTTTTTTTTTTTTGCCTCTTTTCATGTCACATTTAGCATATAGTTGTGGTGCAGGGGACCCCATTATCATCTTTTGACACTTTGAAATTAGTTGGGGTCTCTTGAAGGCAAATTTGAAGGCAAATCAAAGATGATGAAAGTAGTGGGCTTCTGTTCTAGCCAAGCACCTATTTGTTTTCTACATGGTCCAGCCATTTAATAACAAAAATGCTGCAAAACCGAGGGGAGATAAGTCAGTCTTATTCCTTTAAAATCCTTCTCCAGCCTCTTAAAATACGTTAAAATCTTAAAACTGCCCCCAGCTCAGATCTGTAAACTTCCAGTTTGAAAGGCTGAAGACTGGGGATAAGAATGTTGTGCTAAAAGAGCTGCTTCTAAAGCTCATCTCCCTTTAAAGGCGACTCTTCTTTTTGAAAAGTTACCTTTATGCTTCCTGGACCCCAGTGAAATGTGTGTTCTCTTCCCTAGGTATACAGTCTGCAGTAAATTGCTGGGGTTTTTATCAGTATGCTTTTAGTACCTACCTCTTGTGTGAATGGGCAGTACTGGGAAATGATTTGAAACAAAATCAATTTGAAATTAGAACTTTATGGCTGTAAATAGTCTTCTAAGAGGCTTCTGGATACATTGTTCTAATTATTTTCTAATACAACTTTAGCCTAGGGTTGCTGGGATTGACTGTTGAAAAGAGGTTATGTATTATGCAGTACCAGCATTGCAAAATAAATGTCATTAAATGCAAACTTCTGCTGTAAATACTGGTACGTTAGTTCTTCTGCCTTCTCTTTCACAGGGATTACAGCTGCAGTCAACTTTTACCTCCACAAATGGATCAACAGCCCTGATAGCTGTAAATAACCATTCCTCTCCCAGCCCTGCAAGTCTCCTAGATTCCACAGGGAGTGCAGTAACCAACCATCCTCTATTACTTAGTCAGGGACACAGTCTGCAAGCAGGTGCTGGCCTAACACAGCATAGCACTACTACCTCTGCTTTTGGGACTCCACCTGGCCCCGATCAGAATCTGGTCACCATGAGCCAGTTGGTAGCAGTTGGAGGGGTGGATGACTCCAGAAGCCTAGGAGGAGGAGTCCGTCAGATTCTCTTGGGAGATGTACAGACTATTCCAGTACGGATTGTGGACAGCCATCCAGCACTTGGTAAGTTGCAGTCTTGCCAATAATATGTAAATATAGAAAATAAAATAGATTTTCTTCTGTGTGTCTTGAAGAAAGAAATGTGTTGATACTGGGGAACTCCTGTATAGACTTCTTTCAGCTGATTTGAATCAATTTCTACTGTGAAAACAGGAGTGGGGGAGGGTAAGGGAAGGAACAAAACCAAACCAAAACCCAGGTTTTTCTACAAAAAGATGGCTTTAGTTAAACTATGCATTACTTACTTTGACCAAATAACCACTTATTCAGTGAACACATTTTTTTTGCCAAATGATATCCATTTAGTTAAAATTATCTTCAAAATATTTTTAAAAGGAAAAATAAGAATAGAAAATAACCAATATTGAATCTAGTTAGAACTTTTTGGAAGGGAATGTGAGGGTTTTCATTACTTCTTTCTTTGCACCATCTCAGCAGATTTCTGAATTACTTTTTTTACTAAACTTTTGCTAGGTCCCTGAAGTCATCAATGTGCTTTAGAAGTGATCAGTTGGAGTTGTAATTAATTAGAATTTCAGGCTTCTGTTTGAAAATACTCTTTAAAAAAATAACACAATAAATATTATAAATAACTTTTTATCAAAATAGAAGGCTCCTTAAAATTTTTGTTAAATATACAGTCTTTAGATTCTCAGCCATGGAACCTGATGGAGAATGGAAGCTTGCATTCTCAAAGAAGGATTTTTGATTCTTGGTGAAGAAAACCTATTAGATATGGAGCATACATAGGTCATTGCAACATATCCTTTTGACTATCCAGAGAGTCTAAATGCTAGCTTTGTTATTTCTTTTTATCTTTTCTTGTCATCTGTGAGTTCTAAAAAGATGACTCTTGAGTAGTTTTGCAGGAACATCCAGGTAAAGATGTGCCAGATCATAGCCTGCACCTTTCTAATGCCATAGGGGTAACTATTTCCATGTGCCCTGGTGACTTTTGCAGGTCAGCAAAACTGAATTTGTTCTAAATTCTCTAATGGAAATATAAGACTACATGAAGAAATGAAAAAGAGATAAAGGGTATATGAGGGAATATACTGAAATTCATACATGTTAAAGTAATGTTTGGGTATTTTATTGTGGTAGTATTGTCAAAGTTAAATATAAGGGATTTTCTGCCTGCTGTGTACTCACATGTGTAACTGGGTTTTTTATTCCCCTTTTATAATTGAATTTGACTGCTCTCCTGAAAAAATCTGGTTTTATTCAGGGTAAAACAAGCTCAAGAGAGGTTATCAAATGCACCTTCTCCATTCAGTTGTTTAACCCTTTTGTTTAATCTGGATGTTGATGCCTCTCAAAAATTTTTTGTAAGTGATAAGTGTAGTAAGTGCATTTTAAGTAACATTGGTTTACATAAAGAGAAATGTAGTCAAATATAAGATTATATATAACTGCAAGGACTAAACTGGCTGTTCCTTTGGGATTTTCTTTGTCTGCTCAAGGTTTCAGTCGTCACCAGCCTAGATTTGGAAATTTTGAGAATATTGGTGCCATTCCTAAGTTATGTTGTAGAGGAGTTGCCTATAAAATGAACAGATACCCTGTACACTTGAATTTAGCAGTTCAGTCACAGTGCATTTCAAGGTTTTTTTTTTCTCCTGTGTGTATGCATTACATTTAACACCCACGTGGGCTTGGTTAAAATTATCCTGTGTGTTGTAGACTTTCTCTTGTCTAGGTGCTAACTTAAGAATAAGCTATTTGCTGCTGGAAATTTACATGCAGTCACTGTAGTGGCCAGTCATGCCTGAATTATAAGTCATTGGGTTAGTTTTCCGTTCCTCCTTTCCCCTGGAAATGAAAAAAACAACCAAATAGAACCAAGTAAGCGGGTTGCTTTATCTTTCCGTGGGAAAGAGGAAAGACATGTTGCATGAGCATAATTTTCTATCTCCAAACATACTATTTTTTATGGCTTTTTATAAAATGTTCCAAATATTCTAACTCAAGGGAGCTGTTACTGCAGTAAATTCATATCAACTTGCCATGTCTTGTAGCACAGTAAGTGCTACACTAAACAGCCGTTAAATTTAGTTTGACCTACTGTTTGACCATGAAGCAGTTAACTTCGCAGATGCCTTACCTATTAGCTTGAGTTCCTGAAATACTTTTAATTTAAAAGTAGCTGAAGCTTATCAGTGGAGTTTGAACTTCAATGTTTGATTATTTTTTGTTTTGTTTTTAAGCTGAAGAAAATGCAGAGGGAGTTATCTGTGTGAGCCAAGTTAAACAAGAGCCAAGAGAAAAAGTATTGTCTGTGGAGCCAGATAAAATCAGAGGCTGCCGTAGTTCCTCACCTGTTTAAATCTGTGAAGGCTGGAAGGATTTTTCAAATCGGAGAACTCCACATGGAAGGTGCTCTCAAAGTAATGCCATTCTTTTTAAATCGTACTGGGACATTCAGACTAGGCATATTTTTACAGTAGTTCTGACAGCAATTTTGATTTATGACTGATGTGGCTCACTGCCAATGCCAGGTCATTCAGTTGCCCTGTGGAACAGCACCTCTCACTTCTGTTTCAAGCTTTTGAGTAATTGGATGTTATCCAAATGGCCCATTTTGGTCAACATTTCTGAAGGTCTTCCACAGTTTAATTCCTTAGTTTTAGAATATGGATCACAGTACTGGGTTTACTTTTCTCCTTGAGACTTTCGACTCTTACGGCACTACAGAGACCATCGATTCTGCCAGCTCCAAGACCACAGAATCCAACAGCACAGTGTATCTATACAGCAGTGGTTTTGTGACAAAATGAAGGTCCAAGATGCTAAATTTCAAACTGATGAAGGACATAGATGCTTAAGCAAATGCAACTTTGACCTGATCATAATGTTAATGGTGTGAAGATCAAGGAGAGGAGAAAGGTGAGATTCCCAGGTGAATGTAAAGCGGTATGATGAAGAAAAGTGTGTGAATTGTAATAGTGAATGTTGTCAACTTTGACATCTTTGCACTTATGTTCTGGCTTTATAATCCGTTTCATTGCTGCATGCAGCATTTGCAGCAGTACAGTATTAGCAGTTGGTCATAACTAAATGCAGGAATCTTGTCTCATGGAAAATGATGCTTGTCTACCTTTTGCTTTATGCACTTAATGCTGTTAGTTCAGATAAATATGATTTAACCTGCTGGCACTCATGATGTAGGGTTTATGGATACGTTTCTAACAAAGAAAGGCCCAAGAAAACAATGCAAAGTACTATAAATTCAAACAATATGTGCAAGTGTGCTGTCACTGTAGTGTTCAGAAAACAAACTCATCTTTTTCAACTGTAGCAGGTCCTAAGACTGGAGTGGTCCGTAATACTTTCAATATTACCAGGGATCTTTATAAAAATGAATATGATAAGGAAATCTCTTTTAGCAATACTTAAGCCAAAGCCATAATAAGTGACAAGCATTGAGCTGTGTAATGTGTGAGACATGTTTCTCTAAGAAAAAAATTTACACATAACTTGGAATCCATTTAAAGAATTAAATGAAACTGATGCCAACATAGGTATCAAATTAAACAATGGCATTGTTTACTTCAAATGTTGAATTCTTAGAGCAATATTCAGAGTGGTTTGTATACAGCAATATCAGCAGTTCTGTTACTGCTTCCTACTAAGTGGTTGAGATTTTGCTGAAAAAGTTATTCTTTTTTTTTTTTTCCTTTACATGCTGCAGAATAATGCAGCCTGAGGACTTAGGAATAAAAAGAAATAAACCAAAACACACACAAAAAAAATCTGAAAAAGAAGAAAAATCTGAACAAGATTGATCCATTTATGTAGAGATAAAATATTAGAAGTATTATGTGACATAAAGATTAAATTGTTAAGTTTGTTAACATACATCAAGCATCATTTAAATAGTGGCAATTTTCTTTTGAGTATTGAAAGCTAAGCCTTTCAAAAGTTTCCCATTGAACTGGGTTCCCAGTGCAGCATCTGTTAGGTGAGTGCTATATCTTAACATATATTAACTTCTGTGAGGTTAACTAACACTGTTAAAGCGTTCATTTAAAGCTAATATATATTGGTTAGCTTAAATAAGAATTTTCCCACAGGGTCATGCTCTTATTAAATAAGAGTCAGTATTTTATGATGCAAGTGCATAGAGAATCTCCAGTTCTTTGGAGTCTTTCACATTTTGTTTCTGCACTGACTTGCTTTGTGGTATTTCTGAGTAGGTAAAATCCCACAAGGTTCACACCTCTGTTAATTTTATAGTTGTTGTTAATTGTGAAAATATGTCCAAAATGGATGTTATCTGCTGCAGTTGTAGTTCTGGAGCACGCAGTCAGCAGTCACCTTTTCTTTCCCAACTTGGTAACTATGTACCAGAACGGGTACCTGCTTCTGTGCTGCTGTGTTCAGTGACTCCATCACCTTTGTTATTTTCTTAGAGTTTAAACTAATGCATTCCAAAGTATATTCTTCTTTCTTAATAATACTGTTCTTTTTTTTTTAATAATCATTCTTCATTTTTGTGAATGCTTATTCCCAAAATAATGAATTACAGCTAAAGATTATCAGCAAGAGGTTATTTCAGTTTTAGTTCTCTTCAAAGCAGATAATAGATTTGTGTTTGGACTAGAAGTTTAATGAAAGAGAAGTTTCATTTTCATCAGTTCTTAGTTCCCTCATTAACACATCTGTTCTTTAGCAGTCACTGTTCATTCCAGCACAGGATGAGCTGCAGTCTCATCCTGTGCTGAGCAATATTCCTGATGGTACTTTTGTTTTTGGTTTAATGCTCACAGCTGGAGGAAATACTCTTTTAGAACATTTTGAATTGCAGGCTGTGAAATTAATTTTATAATCTACCCTGATTTGCACAGTACCCTGAAAACAATAGAACAAAAAGTTGGGAGAAATTTAAAGAAGCAGTACAGAATTAGTTGTTTGTAAAAGCTGGGCATGAGAGTTGCTATTCTAGTCATTGAGCAAAGTTGAAATGCTTCTTCAGGCAATACTCAGATTTTTGGTTTCATTTTTTTCATTTTCACAGCATTTCAGTTCTTTGTCTTCCAAATACATACTCCAGTTTATTATTGTGTTGGTGTTTAATTTGGTGTCACCTTTCCTCTTTAAATATGTTTGCATTTGCTTTGTGCATGTTGCTAATGAAGGAATACGAGCTCATCTTCCATATCCAGTCTCTAATTAAGCTTAACACCTGTGTTCACTAAAGTCCACCTAAATTTTACATAAAAGAATCTTATGTGTATTAAAAAACCACAAGTAAGCAATAATGCTTTCGGATCAACTAAATTTGTTTGAATCAAATGCGTAAGGTTGATTTTTCAGAGAAAGCTGTGTAGCTTAGTACAAAGTAGTTGATTGTTACTGTGCTGGAATTGTAGATGTTTTTCTGATGTTTACTTTGTTTTCTTGTGGTTGTATTCAAATGTTTATTTTGCAAACCTAGAAATCGTGAGCTCCTGAGTGCTGTAAATGAACAAATTCTTCTCCAATTTATCCGCACTGTTGGTTACCCATAACAGTGCTCAGCTGGCTTTACAAGAAGGGCTGTGCTTATGTATGTGCATACAATGATAATTTTTTGCTAAAATGTACAGAATGCATAAAAAGGCACACGTCCATAGCTCTTGTTCAAGGCTGGTGGCCTCTTGGATGGAAACCAGTAGTGTTAATGAGTCCTTTTTGTGGTATAAAGATTGTTGCAATTTGTACAAAATTTAGAGAGGAATATATCTGTATATGTATGTGTATATCTATATTTATATAGTAACCTAATGTATAATATTTCTGTTCAAATGTAAACTACTTTTTCTTTTAAAGTAATGGTCTGTGTTGTGGTTATGGGGGCCCATGGGGAGAAATGCAAGAGCTACGTCAGGGCAGTGGTTTCTGGGAATGAAGGAGAACAAATAGAACAACACCAGGGAGACCAGGCAGAAGAAGTTCCTGAAGGTGTGTGAAAAGCAAGGGTTCTGTGGGGAAGGGCTGGAGTGGGCTGTGCTCCGGGGGTTCTGGGGCCCTGGAGGGCGGTTGTGAGCACATCGAAAAGGCTCAGTGCAGCTAGCTCCTCAGGCTATGCCAGTGGTGCATAGGGTGAGTTTGTGGTAGGAATTTAAAGGAATGGAAGAGTCCTGCCCCAAAAACCCACAAAGCGGCTTGAGTTTTGGTGAGTGCCAGAGGCAGGTAAATGATTTCCCATAGTCTGAGATGCCCATTCTTATCTTGTAATATGAAGAAAAAAATACCTCTTGGAGATTCAACCCCGCAGCATAGATTCTTTTGCTTTACACATTAGTACAGAAAATACACCTTTTCTTCCCAACTGAATTAGCTTGCTGCTGTCATCCCTCTGGCTGCAGCTCTACCTACCTCAAGCATGGACCACCCAGGTCTCTTTTCCTTCACACTTCCACCCAAGCCCTATGTCCTCAGGCCCTCTGGTTCTCCGTGTTTCACTGTTGCACTGTTGGAGCTGCTGGTGAGTTCACAAGTAAATAGTAGTGACATTTGCTCAGTTTTTCTTCCTGTCTCCCCAGGATCCTAAGTGCATATGTTCCTTTTAATTGGATTAAGTATTTTCCTTGCTTTGGGGCTTATCTTCTTTACCTGGATGAATATCAGGCAGCCACATTTCACAGGACACTCTTCGCATTCACAGCAACTGAAAAAAACTGAGAAAACAATGAGAAAATTGTAGTTGCTGACAGGTCTTAAGACTTTGTATTGAGAAACTGGCCTCTTGCCTTTCACATTCGAGTGTCTGATTCTGGCTGTGGATAGTAGCTGGCTGTTGACTTGTCTGTTGGCAAACTCACAATTTGCTGCCTTAATCCTGTTCGAACAGGTATGTTCTCAGAAGATTAGGCAGGAATAATCTGTTCTATTAGGGATAGAAAGTGTGATACAGCTGAGGATGGTGCTGTGAAAAGTTACTGCTCTTTGTGGATCTGTGGTGAGAAAATTCTCCTTGAACTGCCCTTCCTTTCTGAAAAAAGCTTTCACAGGCATCAGCTTCAGAGCCATCTGTAATGGTATCCCATCAGTAATGATCATCTTCTCCTAGCAACAGTGCACTTCATTAATGATGAAACAAGCATTGTGTAAAACAGGCTGTGTTGATTTTTTTTTTTTAGGTCAGAAGCTACCCAGCAAGTCTCTCCAACAAGCAACAACTAAGGTATGATCTGGGGGGAGAAACAGGGGAAGGCAAAAATCTCATCACGTGACGGGAGCGCATGTGTATTTGGGGTTTCTTTTGCAATGTAAGCTGTTCCACCTTAGTATCTCAGTGCGTTTCTAATGCACGTGACAAATTACATGTTTATTTTCTGAAGGGATTGGATGTGTTTTCTAGAGAGTCTTCAAAGGAGTGATCATAAACAGTACTTGCTGTATCATAGAAAGTATTAGTGGGTGTAGGACCCCACGCTGTTCTAGTACAGAAGGTGTTTTAAAAGCATGGAAAGCTTTCTGAGGGCAAACACTGAATGTTCTTGTCCTGAGGAGTCTTTCCTGCATGGAAGAATAGGAGCATGGATGCTGTGGGAGTAATTCTCATCAACGGTCTAATAGCCTCTGCTAGATAGAAGAAACATTGCAATAAGGCACATGTATCTCTTTATTGAAAAAATTACCTTTGGTTGCTTAATAGTTTTAAGTTACGTATGCATATGAGATTGTATGTATCTGAAGAAAAAAAAAAAGGAAGAGAAACTGGAGATATGAATATAGTTGTTTATGTGTAGTTCTTTAGCTTTAATTACATTTAACTGTGGTTAAATGGGGCAGATATTTTAGGGCACATGTAATCAGATGTTTTAATATGGATACCTGGAATTCATGTTTTTTACTACAACCATCCTTAGCTCTCTGCAGTGCAGCTCAGTTGGTTATTTGGCATGTATTTGGCTTCTGTAAATGCGTCTGCCTGCTTAAACAAGAGCGTGCTGTTCTAAGCAAATTAAATTTCTCTCTCCTCCTGATTTTTTTTCTAATAGAGATTGATAAGGCTTATAGGAAATGGAAATCTGTCCATAGTTACTGATTTCATAAGAATTTATTTCTGGGCCCTATGAGGGAGCAAAAACATACATGCTATTGGATGTGCCATTTGGTCATTTGTCTAATGTACTTGGACTTCTACAGCAGGGCAGTGTCAAAACAGCATCAACTACCACTGAAATACTGTTAAAACTTCAGCTTTGTCATTTGGTTAAATATGATAGTTCAGTGGCTCCCAGGAAGAGCAGAGCCTTGCTCCTGCTCTTTGTAGAATAGTCTTTCTCTCTAGACACTATTTAAAATGTAATTAGGCATGGCAATCAAATGGCAGTAGGAGAGCCAGAAACATAGATGTGTGTGTTGGCAGATCAGTGGGAGAGAGGGAGTTCAGTCCTGGTGTCCTCATTCCAGACTAACTTTCTCTGTGCTTGTTCTGAATGCACCCTTTGAGAAACAGTGATGATTTGTCTTTGTGTTCTGACATAGCTGTTCTCTCTGCTTGCCCCCTCAAGAAGTTGTACAAGCCTTCAAGGGACGTGGAGATCATGAACAAGGTATGTAAGATCTTATGGGAGGACCTGCAGGAACAGAATGGAGGAGATTAAAGGTTGATGACATGACTTCGATAGAGCCCACATTCTTTGGTGGGAGGAAAAGGATTTTTCAATAATGAATAAAAGTAAATCTTTTCAGAAGTATTAGGCTTATTGATCTGCCTGACAAGATGCCTGGTGTTTAGACAGATCTCAGTGAGTGTGTACCAAAATATTAATGAATGCTTATCCGTGCATTACCATCTTTGCATGTTATACTGAAATTGTAGGCCAGTGCTGCCTCCTGATCTTTGTGTTGTCTGTGTGTGTTTTCTTAAAGTAAATGAAAGCTTGTTTTATTAGGGAAAAAAAGCCAACAGTGGAGAGTTTTTGTCTGAAGTCCTTTCAGGTATTCTTACTGCAGGGTAAGCTTTAACTTACAGTGGATGATGATGTATTTCTGCAGTAATTCCTCATGAGGAAATACCATAATATACAAGGGTAGAAGTATGTACTAATAGCCTAAATCAACCAAAGCCTTTTCCAATTTTTTTTTCTTTTTATCCAGAACAGGAATCATTCCAAACTGTCTTCCGAAACCACCATGTTCAGAGTCTGAAAGGTTTGGCCCTTTTCTTCCTTTATAGGTGATTCCATCCATACTGCAAATCACTGTGATGAGGGTCTTCCACAAAAAAAAAAAAGAAAAGCAATTATAGAACCAGAATTATAGCAAGGGAAGGGGTGGGGGTAGGAACAGGGATGATACCAGAATCCTTACCACCTTTCCCATTACATGAGGGCACTTACTTTTCATTTGCATGATCTGACCGGGTTACTTGGCGGGGTATCAGTAACAATATTTGCAAACCATAGTTTGTTTCTGAATGTGTTGCATCAAGGCTAGATGGTCAGCAGTGGGAGAAAAACAAATCTCAGCTTCTCCCTACCCCCCCCACCCCCCCCCAACTTCTGCTGTTAAACTGTTCTTGCAAATTAGCTACAAGTTTGGCCTAAGGTTTATCTTCTATCCTAGATCTAAGTGTGCAGTGTATAATTCCTAAAGGACCGTGCCGAAAGTTCAGTTGTGCTTTGTCAGGTCACTGTTCTGTTAGACATAAATGTGACTTTTTCTCACAGATATTTCTCTTAAAGCTAAAATTAAATAGGACAGAATTGGAAATGAATTATTTATGTTTCTTACAGATGACACTCGAGTTTTCTGAAGTGTGCAGGTGCTTCCTCCTTGGCTTCTACTTTTAGCTCTTAGTTCACTGTGTGTTGGATGTTTTCTTAGGATCCCTTACCTCTGAGGGTACTCCAGGTAACTGGCAAGACACCAGAGCCAAGAACAGAAGAGGAAGTGAAGTTGTGAAAAGCTGTTTGCAGGAGATAGAAAGCTCTCAGAGTTTACAGCTCAAGATTGCAGAGTTTGTTTCTGGCTGAAGTGGTTCACTTTAAATGGTAAACATTTTTTTAATATAAAACTTTTTATCGTTGATTTTGATGCTATTTGTGCTCTGAGCTCAATTCTAATAAAAGCTAGAATGCTAATTGCATATATTTGCTTTTATCTTCAGTGCACTAGTTATCTTCTGAATGCAAACTGGTGTAACATCTCCATGTTCTTGGCTGTTGTTAAACCCATTATCACATCTGAGGCGTTTTGTTCATGGAAGGATATGGAGAAAGTGGGAACCTTTGTGACCTTCTTGCTTCTGTTGAGAACAGATGGTCTGTGGAAAGAGGGCTTTGCTGGTTTTAAATCAATGTTTCCACAGTAATTCAGTGGGTCCATAGGTTTTTCATGTCAGGTTCTAGTGCATGTCTAACTTTCAACATAATACAAGCTATAAAATTACCTCTCCCTGGCCTCCCCATTTGTTCTTTTTATTTTTGGAGTGGGGGAATTGTTTGAACATGTTCTCATCTACCACTTTTCTGCCTTTCTCCCATTGTCTTTTCCATGCAGAGTGGCACAGAAACAAAAATTTCTCCTTGAAACACTGTTCTGTCATTCTGTTTCCCATGTTTGGAGATAAATTTCCTCTCAGCTTTATTGTACTGGAGGTTGATTCCTTGCATGACTGAAATAGAAGATGCTGTTATGTTTTCTTGGGGAGGGACATACTGGGGTGAGCTCCCCTGCCCATTTTGCCCCAGATGTTCTTGCAGAAAGCACCTGCCACACGTTCCGCTCCTGTATCTGTGTCCCAACACAGGCCAGCACAACTACAGAGCTGTGGTGATGGTAGCAGTGTCTTGCACTGTGTGTACCATCAGATCACCAGTACAAGCAACTGCCCTTCACCCCCTCATATTGTTTTGAATCTGTATTGGTCTGTGGGTCTGGCCCGTTGTGCACCCCACAAACGACTCCTTGGGTACAACTTGAAGGGAAGCACAGGAGAGGGTCAGGAAGTTCTTCATCTCCAGCTTTGTGTAATGCTTCTGCTTTGGTTGTGGGTGGCCCTGTGCAGGACACAGCTGGGTTCCAGTCAGCTCTGCAATGGTCGCACTGCCAGGCACATCTGAGCTCATCCATTAATCTGATGGCACCTCTGTGAAAGCATGTTAAAGAAAGGACAAAATGCTGCATGGTAGAGAGGAGTGAGGAAGAAAGTGAGAGAAACAGTCCTCTGAACACCAAGGTCTGAGAAGAAGGAGAGGGAGGAATTGCTTCAGGTGCTGGAGCAGGTATTTCCCTGCAGCGCACAGAGGACCCCATGCTGGTGCAGATGGGAATTTCCTGAAGAAACTGCAGTTCATGGAGAGGAGCCATGAAGGAGCAGGTTCATGCTGAAGGACTGCAGCCTGTGGAGCAGACCTGTGGGAAACAGGAAAAGTGTGAGGAGGATGGAGCGATACAAAGGAGCTGTTACAGACTGATTGCAACCCCCTCTTGCCTGTGCTGCTTCAGGTTGGGGAAAGTAGAGCAGTTGGGCATTGAAGGTGTGAAGTTGAGTCAGGGGAAAGAGAGGAACATAAGGGGAATGTGCTGGTTTAATTTGTATTTGTTTCTCACTAATTTTATCTATTTTAATTGGCAATAAAATAATTTTCCTCACATCAAGTACTATCTGCTTTGGCAGTTTCTTACAGATGTTAAGGATGCAGCATCTTCATGACATTGTATCTAGCTGTGCTTCAGAAGGAGGCAAAGTTTGGCGGGGGGGAGTTGCATCTTTGGTGAAAGTACTGTTAATCTTGAAGAAAATAAATAGAGTTTGGGAATGAGACATATTCCTGTGCTTTTCAGAGTTTATTTTCCTGAATGAGAAGGGAACTTCCTTTAAAAGGTAAGTTTCGTATGTGGGTTGTTAGACCACCTACCAAAAATACCTGGCACTGGCTGCTAAGGGTATATAAACAGGGTACTTGGTGATATGGCACACTGGAATACAAAACTGATGGATAGCTTCATAGCATTAGCTAAATTAATCTTTAATTTCTTCGCCTTTCTCTGCATCTTGCTATGGAAGGAAGATTCTCTTATAAAAGGAACATGGTTGTCTATGGATGACACAAAGCTATTTGCAGTGGATGAAGAAGACTTCTTAGATTGTAGATTAGATGAGCTTCAGAAAGGATTGCACTGTCATAACTTCATCAAGTAACTTCTTCCAATGACATCAATGACATCACTCACTTCTGATTACTGGTCTGGAGTAGATTACATGATAAGCTTTCCTGGCTATGTCAAGATAATAGAAAAAAATGCATTCTCTTGAAAAAAAGAATTTCTATGAAAGGAAAAGGAATTCCCCGTTTTGCAGCTCTTGGGGACAGCCATGCCTGCTTAGCCACCAGCTGCTCTGGAAGAATACACGATTATCCACTTTCCCTGGCACCAAAAAGTCCTTTTCACTGAAGTACTCGATATATTTGTGAAGTTGGATCAGGCAAAGTGAATTTGGCTTTATTTATTTATTTATTTTTAAAAGGCAGGCAAACTACCCTGGAACAAAACTGTAACTCTAAAAAGATCAATGTTTTCATAGTGCATTGTGATTTTATTCAGCTAATGACACAAAAGTGTCTCCATTCCTTTTATTTCAGACTTGTGAACTTCTTTGCAAAATGATCTAAGATCACTAGTGAGATTAGCTAATAACTGCAAACTGGAGAAGTTTCCCTATGGAGAAGTAGTAACAAAAGGTATCATAAAGTCAGCCAACATAATTTATCATTAGTAAGGCAAGATCTTTCAAACATTAACCACAAGGTAATACTTTTGGTGGTATGCTGGCATTTATTCACATCTTGCAAACAAAAATAGTAATTACGAGCTGTGTCATACTTAGTGTTCAGCTACTTTGTGTACCCTGTGTGGGGTCTATTTTATCCAATCTCTTACACAAAGTTTAAGTTAATGGTTAACACAGAGCATAATACACAAGTTCTTCATGGCAAGCTTTGTATTTCATATATTTTCTAACATAAAGTGTTTGAATATTTTTGTTAATTATCAGAAGACATTTGAGAGAAACAAGTTCTGTACTCTTATCTGTGTTTTGCTTTTGGAATTGATAAATTCCATTTCTTTGAGAGCTGTTATTAGCAATGAAGTGACTATTTTCACATGAGATAAAGGTTTCTGACTGCAGCAGAAACGGGTTCAGTTAGGGAAACTATAGTTGTATTCTATTCTGAGTGGCTGGAATTTCTGAAGAGGCACTGGAGTCCACCTCTGCATTCACAGAAACATCACCTTTGGGGCATAATGTTATAAAGATCAGCAAGGTTTCCTGTGAGGTTTGACTGGTATTGTACACCAATACAGTATTCTGTGAGACAGTGATGCTTCCTGCTTTGTTATGAGATGCCTAAAATATTGTGTGTTCATGATGTAGTGTCTTGCTGCTGATGTGCCAGCAGGATGATGCAAAGAAGAGAGTCCACAATCAATGTTTTGTTTAAACCCAAACAGAAGCAACAGCGGGCACATTTTTTTCCTGTGGGTGCCTGTCTTGAGATATTTGAGAGGTAAAAAAAACAGTTTGTTGGTTGTTT